TGTATTGGATTCCCCACCTGATGTGGTGCCCGAGCAATATAAGGATCAGGTGGATCTGCTTCACCAACAAGTCCTGACTATCTTCCAGTCCAAGGAGATCCCATACTTCATCATGGCAAGGATGGCATCAGATGGCTACCGCTCGGTGGAGGACCTTGCCGATCGATGGCCCACCATCACGGAGGCCCGGAACAACTCCCCAGCAGACCTCCAGTTCCGTCACACAGACCGTGGGGGAGCTTTGATCACACAAGAGAAGACGAATCACTTGGCCATGCGCATCTCACAATGTGTCCGTCAAGCACAGCAGTTGCTGGGCACTGGGGGCCTGAACCAGGGCCGAGTGGGACCCGCAGGGCTACTACCGACGACATCACAGGCGGCGCCCTCACTGGATGCCCTGTGTGATCGACGCCAGCTCCTGCAGACATGGACGGTGGTTGTCCAGCTCCCACTCCCACGATTGGAGGATCAAGGCTCGGATGCTTTGTTGAAGAAACAGTTCAAACTCTGTGCGCAAGGAGAAGTTGGCTGGATTGCCAGCAAGTACATCATATCAGCCCTACCAGACCAGGATGAGCGGCCGATCAAGACCACCAAGAAGGTGACGGTCGATGGGTGGGAAAAGGAAGAAGAGGAGGAGACACGGAAACTCCCAACTACGAGGCGTCAGTTGGAGCACATGCACCTGGTCTTTCGAACCAACCTCCTCATGGCCATCCTCTCCTTTCCCAGCATGCCGAAGCTGAACATCACCCATAGGGACCTAGAGGACTGGTACCGATGGTTCTGGGGGAAAGACATTGCGGACAGGAGACCGCCGCCCAGTGAACAGGTTCTCCTCTACGCTGAAAGGAACGCATGGAGGGAGATCCACAACTTGGTCTACGGGGGACTGGGCCTCAAGGAGGCCATGGCCCAACTACGTCAGGACACCCTGTTTGGACCAGAGAGGTCTATGAGTCTGTCGCCCGGCAGAAAGGCAACAAAGGCTCGGGGCCTGACTCCCCAACACGACCAGCCAAGTCCAAGGGACGCCAACCTTCGTGGTCACCAACTCAGCCACAATGGAACAAACAAAAAAGGTCACCCAAAGGGGGTAAGGCCAAAGGGGCCATGGGATCCGGAAAAGGGAAGGACTCTGAATGGCCTTCAAACTGGGCTAAGATCTCACCCAAGGGAGTGCAGTATTGCCGTGACCACTTCCTCAAGAAGAAATGTCCCGGGAACTGCGGACGCTCCCACAACTGTCCGGTCCTTAAGAATGGCTGGGTATGCAACGCCGCACCCTCAGAACACACCCCAGAACAATGCCCACACCGTTGACTCCTGGCGGATCCGGTAGCGTCTTGCACCGATCACCCACCAGGGTTGATGGACACCCCAACACCAATCAAAAACCAAGCAACAACGGAACCGGGGGGGTCTCCCCCAGGTTACCCCAACGACACAAGCACACCACATTCACAGCAAGAGGCCGTGGGCCGACCACTTGATACAACGATGATCATGAATGGACAGTCCCTGCTTGGGCACTGTCCATGGCTCTCATCGGTTCCGAACAGGCTGTTGGAACGCCTTGTATGGACCACACAACCCACGGGTAGTCTCCAAGGGAGGGACATACTACTCCTCTACACTGGCAGGAGTGACGGAGGAGCCTTGGATGACATACTCATCCAACAACACCAGGACCTGGCCCCCAGGCTCCTTGCCGTGGATATCCTGAGGCCACCAGAAAAGGGCCCAAACGACATATTGGATGATGAGTTTTACTCAACTCTCTGCTGCGCCGCCGAGAGGGGCCAGTTGTCATTTGTGGGGGGCGGCCCCAACTGCCGGACCTGGAGCATCCTACGATGGTTTCCAAAGCCTGGAGCGCCCAGGCCAGTACGAGGGCGTGATCCCTCCCAGACATGGGGCCTTGACTCAAATTCCCTGGAAGAACAGTTGGACACAGACAAGGACAGTATCCTTCTGCTCCGGCAAATGGTCATCACTGCCCTAGCCTCAAAAGCCAGGCAAAACAAAGGATTCCACTCGTTCTTGGAACACCCTCGTGATCCAGCTGAGTGTAGTCGGGCACCAACGGCGGCAAAATGTTCATCGGTCTGGGCCACCAGAGTCTACCAGGAGTGGGCCAAAGAGGTAAATCACTGCCAGATCCACCTGGACCAGTGTAGACTGGGACAAAGGGCACAGAAGAGTACGACCTTCTCAACGGACCTTCCAATTCACCATTGGCAAGGCCTCCAGTGCAACCACTCTGAACATTTGAGGCCAATGGAGATGACCTCCCGGGACCTCAGCAGATACCCGCCAGCACTGATGGCAGGGCTGGCAGCAGCAATCATCCAGAGCATTCCAAACACAGGACATCAACCCACCGGGTGCCAACAGGAAGGGGAGCCTCCAGGTCGGACAGACCGCTCCTCATCGGTACCCCTCTCCCAGACGATGACTTTGGATGACGACCCGATCATCGTTCAATCAGGCTTCAAGACTAGACCTCTACGGGATGGAGGAGGTAAGCCCTCAGCCGGGAGACGACCTCCCCCGCTCAGACCTCAGTCCAAGATCAAGCACATTGGAGACTCCATTAGCCACCTGGCCAAAGGATGTGCACAGGACGTCCAACAGTCCATCAACAGGGGTGAAAGAAAACATCCGTTCCCTAAGGAACTTCTTCAGGAGACACGACGGGCCATTGCCCAAGGGATCGGGCTGGACTACCAACTTGCTGAGGAGATGGAGCCAGGCCAGCCGTTCTATCTGAACCTCATCTCAGCCTTAGCGGAAGCTGGTGGAGATGCAGATGCAGCCTACCCCACAAGGGTTGCCAAGGGAGTCCCCTTAGGTGTCACCACACCCACCTGGACGTCACCGGGTATATGGCCTACCAAGGAAGAACTCAAAGGAGAATCCCCTCTGTGGGAGGACCTCCTAATACCCATGGGCAGGGACAACTACCCCTCGGCAAAAGATTTCTCCTCTCAGGTTCGACAGACCTTCGTGGAAGAGGTAGATATGGGTATGGTTGAGGGCCCACTCACACAGGAGGAGGCTGCACTCCGCTGTGGATGCACCCCAGATGAACTCTGCCCAGGGCCCCTGGCGGCAATTGACGAAGGAGATAAAATCCGCACAATCTACGACGGAAGCTGGGGCCATGCAAACTCACACATCCAACAAAACACAGTTGAGAAGACCACTGCACCCACAGTGATGGACTGTGTTCAAGCCATTCACTGGCTAACCACCACGAAGGAGAAGACATCTGGGACGGTAGCGTCTTGCACCGACCTGGCATGGCAACCTCCACACAAACAAACCACCTGGGCGCTTTTGAAAGCAGATGTTTCAAAAGCACACCGCCGCATCAAGGTCCAATCCAACGAATGGCGCTACCAGGTAGCACAACTTGATGGCGAATGGTGGATAAACAAGGTGGGTACCTATGGTATGGCCAGCGCCCAACTTTATTGGGGCAGAATGGCGGCACTCCTCCTCAGACTATGCTACATGATGTTTCCACACATAGACTGGGGCTTTGTGTTCGTGGAAGATTTTTGTTGGCTCCTCAGGACGGACTCCGCCACTGAGGATACGGCAAAACTACTTCTCTCCTTAGCAGCCATGGGGTGCCCCCTCAGTTGGCACAAGACGGTGCTATCTGAGGTCAACACCTGGTTAGGTTTCCAGGTCAATCCATGCGGACCAGTGGTCGACTTCCCTCCAGATAAGAGGAAGACACTTGAGGCACTCCTTCAGACCATCGCTGCGGGCAACACCTTCACGGTGAAGGAGATTGAGAGAGCACTGGGACGATTAAACTGGGCAACGGCAGCTTGGCCCCTCAGTCGCCCTTTTCTTCAGCCATTTTGGGCATGGAAATCCGCGACGACTACTTCAGGGAAGCCCGGCAAGCTCATACGATCCTTTGCAAAGCTTCTCCTCCAGCTGCTCCACAACCCCCAGATCCAGCCCTGCCCTTACGACCCTGCCTCCAATTGGTGGGGTGCCAGTGATGCTAGTGCACACCCGGACGATGGGGCCTACATTGGGGGGTGGATCGCAAATTGTGAGAACCCATCAAAGGAACAGACCTGGTGGTTCCATTACAAGATACCCCTCGAAGACCATCCATGGGCTCACAAGGATGGTGATCCAACCAGACGCATTGCGACCCTCGAGATGTTTGGCACATTGATTCTTACCCACTTCCTTCTGGCTTTGGGTGGGAAATCTCTGCTTCGTACCCGTCTCAGCCTCATTTCAGACAATCAAGGCAATGTCTTTGCCCTGTTGAACCAGAAGACGAAGCATATGCCTACCTCAGCCTTCTTAATGCAGCTCATCGCCATGCTCTATGTTGCTGGGGTTCAATTGGCGCCTTCACACATGAAGCGGGACTACAACAAGTGGGCGGACGAACTCACCCACCCGAACTTCACTGGTTTTCATCCTGATCGACGACTACCAGTGAGTGAAGCTTTTTCCCATTTTAAATTTCTCTGGGCTCTTCTGGATGACCAGATGAGTGTCCCCACCTTTTCAGGAAATTCAAAACGTCGTAAGACCGATTATCACGCCACCTAAGGTCCTTCGGGAGCCAGGTGGTTGCGGCTGACTTTATGGTGTACAGTGGTGTTTTCCCACCTACAACCCTCTTTTTCCTTTCCTTACTTGCGCGAGCTTCACGCTCCGGCGGGTTGGGTGGATTTTGACGTGTGACACCACCACTGCAGTTCAGAGTTTCTGTGAAACCATTTGTGATTGATGCGATTGGCATCTGACAGAAACACAGCCGCAAAGCCAACTGCATAACAAAAGGTGCTGACTGATCGATGCAGTTGCTTTGTTCCGTTTCTGTCATTTTCAATTCTATTCGGGAACACAAGATTATATAAGTATGTATGTCGTGCGCTGGTCCTCAATTGGCGTGAGAACAATGGCTTTGACATGTCAAGCGTGAATCTACATATGAACAGATTCCGCAGGAGCAGCTGGTGCGCTATGCACGTAGTGAATCTTGGCAAAGCTTTGCGCTAGGATTCCAGACCTTGCTGGTTCGTTATGAACAGGGGTGAAAGCCCTCCCGGCAACAAAGGATCGACCAAACGAACCCACAGCAGTGGGGGAGGTGGCTTTCGTTTTGAAGGTGCCCCATTTGTACTCGGCACCTTGCCCTGCAAACAGACTTGTACCAAGCAAGCGCCGCAGCGCGCAACTTTGGGATGATTGGGATGCAGGTGCCTGGCAAGAGATATCATGGCAGTCTCTCATTTAAGGTGCGATCGCGCGCCGGCGTGGAATCCTCTGTCCTTAGCATGTCGCGTACCGACTTCGAAATGATCATGGCAAATCTGGGTTCAGACCACGCGACCTAGCAGCACTAGCAGCCATAGCAGTCATAGCTGACGAGGGGATTTTCCATGATTTTCCTGGTTCGTGCTTCTGTGCATGATCTAGAAGAATTTAAAGAGAGATGCTGCAAGTCGCAGAATGTCACACGCTTCCTAATTTCTTATCTTATGTATCCAGGAGTTTCAGTGTATCATGGAGGGACCTGCACTGCTGGTACTTGTAATGACTGACTAGCAGGGGCCGGTAGTCGCAGCATTGTCATCGCACGTCATAGGGTGACCGTTCTGCCAAGGATCAACTTCTGCAAAATGCAGCTCATCTCATGCGGCTTTCCTTGAATGGAACTGACATTAAAGGAGATGCTGTTCACGACGGGCAGGCCTGCCGCATACATGCAGTGTGCAGTATGATGCCATGATTCTTCACTGGAGTCTCGTACAATATCGTACAATGTTGTGTAGAAGTTGTCTGACCAGAAATGTTGACAGCAAGCAGGAAGATACGGAGCTGTCCCAGATGATGAGGGAGTCTGTGCGTCAAGTGTGTCTTGGTTTGAATCATTGTGAGTGATTTGAGGCATGGGGTGTTGATTGATATTCAAATGTATTGAGTGATGTGCAGTCATTTCAAGGAACTCAGTCAGTGTGCTTCTCATCACTCTTGTGGCCCATTGAAGCTGTGTACTTTTTTTGGGTCCTTCCATGCCCACACGAAGGTTGCTGAATCGCACAGCACACATGTCCACAACCTTCATCAATGCAGCTGCTGAAGGGAATATTGAACAGGCAGGGCACGGCAGTGCACCATTTTCTACACTGACACAGTTATGAGAGGCACGAAGTTGGCTTTTCTCAATTTCCATGCCTTGCAGGTGGAGCTGCTCTTGCGAAAACGGGTGCTGGTGGACACCGGGAACAGCGATGGCCGGACGGCCATGCACCTGGCAGCTTCAGAGGGCCGCGAACATGTCATGAAGCTCCTCATCAAGGCTGAAGGCCAGATTCATTGGATCGCCAGCCTTACATAATTAGAACTGGCACAAAATGGCACAAAGAAAAGGCAAACAGATCATAATATGCTTATATTGATGATTTTGGACAGTAGGTTTTGTAAAGTCTGAAATCCAGATGCTGCCAGGAAATGTGAATGCGCAAGATCGGTGGAAAGGCACCCCCTTGAGAGCAACTTGTCGCAAGCCCTTTCACTTGTCACCCGGATTTGTCGGCTGTTTGGGGCTGAGGATGCAGTGATGGGCAAGTTCAGTGCTGTGATTGACCTGCTGATGGATCAACACGCCGACTTGAATCTAGAGGAGATGGAGCAGTTCATCAAGTTGGTTGTGACATGTTGTGGCCCATGTTGGTCCATTTTGAAGGTCTTAAATGGTGCTTCAGAGATTCACACCATGAAGGATCCTGCCACAGCTCTTTGCGATGCCGCCTCTAGTGGCAACCTCATGGCATCTTGGAGCTGCAAAGGGTAGCCATATGTGGCCCTAGCCATCTACAATCATCCATGGAAATGGAATCCATGGCTGCTACCGTTCATTGCCGTTCCTAGTTCTGCGGAGGCTCAAAATCATAGGGACGGGATGTGTTTCAAATGTTTTCGGGTCCTATCCGGGGGGATGTGCAACATTTTGAATCATTTTAATCATTCAGCCGAGTGCTTGTAGTCATGTAGCAACTGTGCTCAGAATTGCTCAGCAACAAAGGCACTGCAGGAACTTATTGAGGTGAAGATTGATCCAAACAGTTGCTTGGCATATCTTGGCATTGACTGGCAACCTAGCAAGGTATAGCAAGGTCATCTCGCAAGCTTGAGACTTCATGCCACTCCTCGTTGCTTTCTCTTTAAGGTGGGGACTATGATCTCCGCACTGCCCTTCATCTCGCAGCATCAGAGGGCAAACTGGAGGCAAGGGACCCGACATTTCACAATTCTGAAGCGTTCTGAAGGCATTGTGGACCGTTGTGGACCGTTGTGGACCGTTGTGGACCGTTGTGGACCGTTGTGGACCGTTGTGGGCATGATTTCGAGACGTCCAGCTTCATTTTGCCAACGGAAGGCTGTAGTCTGCAGCCATTATCCATCATTATCCCAAAATGATTTGCACGGTTGCAGAAACCTCCACCAATCAGTTCAATATAGTTCAATGATGTTCAATGAGCTATTGGGCTATTGGGGTTCAGATTTCTCAGGTCATCTCTTTCCTCTTGGATGCGCGAGCGGACCCCAACTTCAAAGATCGCTGGGGTGGAACAGCCTTGGAGGATGCTATCCAAAACAATCATGCAGTCCTTCCCTCAGACACAGGGTGAGACTGAAAGCGGCTAGATATGGTAGGAATATGTAAGAATGCTGTAGGATCTCCTAGGCGATGCCGTTTCATGCTGTTTCACAGATTCACAATGATTCACATAGGTGGCTGCGCAACTTATCTACTCCAAGAAAGGCGGACTTCGACAGGCTGCCATTCATATATTGCATTCTGTTGAGAATTCTGTTACAACCCCCCTTATGTTTTGTTGCAATCTTGTTGTATCTTGTCCCTGAAATGTTGCATCTCATCTAGCTGCGACAGGACTTGGCCGCAGGCTGGCTTTGTGATGCTGCAGCTGCAGGGAACATTTTGAAGCTCCGTGGTTGCAGTTTCCACCTTCCACAAGGGGTACGGCCCCAGGATTCGCAGAATGGGAGATGTTAGCAGCCACTACCATGCACTACCATGCGCTCTCTGAGCTGTTGAGACGTCTTGTGACATCTCGTGATGCCTAGTGACGGGCCTAGTGATGTCATGTCTTGTGATCTTTCAACGTCTAGTGATGTTTCAAGGTTGCAGCAGCTCACGGAAAACTCTGTGGATGTGAACAGCGGGGATTATGATGCCCGCACTGCACTCCACTTGGCAGCAACCGAAGGCCGGCTTGGGTAAACTATGGCGAATGGCAAACTTTGCCCTTGATTCCACATTGGATTCCATTAATTATATTTAATTATGGTTTTATCATACCATCGCACAGTTTCAGCGTGTCCATTGCATTCCATTACCACTGCAATCCACTGCATTACAACTGTTTCATACTGTTTCATACTGTCAAAGTCTATTTCTCAGTATGTTCAAATCCTCGGAATCCGGTGAGGCCAACTTCTGGCTGTGAGCTACTTGATCGGCTCAGCTCGAGTTCCTTGGCGAAGTCCAACACAGTGAGGTTGATGTTGGCAGATTGTAGCGGCGGTAGCGGATTGTAGTAGGTCCCAGTCATGAGATTGAGATAGATTGCATAATCAAACAATGTACAATATTTATCAATATTTCAACATATTTCAACCTGCCAAGAGATGAGCACCCAACCGTAGTTTCATTTGTCTCGCTAGACCTTGATACTGAGCGTACCAGTTGTTGCATGTCGTTGCCAACTTGGCTGAAAGCAGCTGCAGACAGTAGCTTTGACATGGATGTTTGCACAGCACACGCAAAGGCCCAACACACCAACACGAGAATGAAAGGCAGCAGCATCCTTGACAAAGGCTTGCCCCAGCCTGTTTTGGGGTATATTTCTATCTGCTTTTGTTTAGACATCTTCAGTTTTTAGATGTTCAATATTCCATCGAACCTACATCAATGAAGTCCTTCATTGTGACAAACACACGGACCACATAAAAAACCCAATCAAAGTAGTGTCGTGTTGACTTTTCCACATTGTTTAGCCGTTTCTGCAGCGCCCTCGATAGCCACAATTATATGCCCAGCACTATACACACCCAGATCCTGTGCGGTTGATAATGGCAGCCGGTTTGCTGGAAGCCTTAAAGGCTTTTTCCACACCAAGGCCAGTTTCCGTGCCCTTCCAATGGTTAATCTCAACATATCTCAACAATAGCCATAGCAGGGGACCATGGGTAAGGTCTATGCGGACTACTGTGTTACATTATCGATCAGTGATTGTGCAAGACCATTTTTTGGGAAGCTCCCAAACATAAGCTCTACATAAACCGACGAGCTTACATTACATAGATGCATAGACCTCAAACTCGGATACTTGAAATGCCCCTTCATTCTAGGCTTATATAACATTATATAACCACTGAGTTTTGCAGATGAACCGTTGAGCGAACAGACACAGGTGTGCACCTGATTTTAGTGCGTGCCGGTCGAAATGGAACCGCCATGTTGTAAACAAGTGTGTTGGGCCAGCGCTTGAGCTCGTGTTCATTTGGGATGAAGCATGGCGCAGCAAGAGGTTGGTATGAGATTCTTTAAGCCGGTAGCATGTTCACCCATTTGACGGGTCCCATTTCCATCCATTTCCAGTGTTGTGCAGGTGGTGGGAGATTGGCAACTCTCAGGATCCTGAGGACAGTGGATGCCAGTCACTCTGAAACACCTTAAACTCCTATTAAATGGGTGTTGCCATATATCGCAAAATGGATGGTTTATACAACATAATGTAAAATCCTATGAAAATGGATGATTCGGGGTACCCCTATTCTAGGAAACCTTCAAATCATGTATATATGAATTGATCTTCTTCTGCTGAGACTCACCCCGGAGGATAATCTTTGGATGTTCGTAAGATTTCGTAAGTCAGATTTCAATGGGTCACAGTATCGCCCGAAAGTGCGGCCTAGACATTGAGACTATGTGTCGCCATTAGCTTCATGAGCATGTAGCGTCATGTAGCGTCATGTAGCGTCATGTAGCGTCATGTAGCGTCATGTAGCGTCATGTAGCGTCATGTACTGTATATAGCTTCATGTAGCTGTGGAAAATTTTGATCATAATGACACCTAGCCGCTACTAGCCGTAGGCATCCGTAGGCTTGCATACTGCTTGCATCGGAAAATTGCGGTCGTTGCGAGTTGTTGCCAGGAGCGCAGGAAACGAGGCAAAGAAGCTGACTTTCAGAAGGCCTGTGCTGAACGACATGAGGAGATGCGGAAGGCCATCGTACTGGCATGGATTAAACCTGGATTAAACATGGGTTAAACATGGTTATATTGTAAGTTATATTGAACTGATATTGAATTGAATCAAGTCCTGAGTGAAGTCCAGGCTTGGGCCAAGAGTCGCATTGAGTCACCATCACTAAGGGTGTTTTCAAGTGTTTCTTACATTTTCTGATGTTGCTTGCCATTGGATTGTGCGGCTCGTTTCGAATAGCTGATGGTGCCTGTTTGGCAGCCGGGCCTGGCTGCGAGGTCTATGAATCTGCCATGTCTCAGGATTCGGAACAGCGTCACTTAGCAGCCATTGATGTTGAGAGAGAGAGAGAGATGGACTACATTTAAAAATATTAAAACATGTTCCATTAATGATCGCATTGCATTTGCGCATGTTTTCCACACACGCTCACGCACACACACACACACATGTGTGTGTGTGTATATAAGTATATATATATATATATATATTATATGTATACTGCACGCACAGATAGATAGATGGATGGATGGGTGGATGGATTGATGGATGGATGGATGGATAGATAGATAGATAGATAGATAGATCAATAGGTGTGTATATGTATATATATATATATTTGTGCGTGCGTGCGCATACCAGAAGTCCAACCGTTGTAAAATGTCCCTGTCAGCATGTTTCTCCCATCTTGTTTCTCGAAACTGTACTAAGGCTGGCTGCGGAAAGTGAGCTCTGATGGAACTTCAGCGGATAAAGTTGCATCCCTGACTATGCTGGTCCAACTCTGCCCCGTATTCTCGAAGCTTTCCCGCAAAGTCTCAGAGGCTAGCCTATCAAGGAGTCAAGGAGTTGAGCCTAGCTGTTTCACACTGTTTCAATCATGTTCACTTGAAATATCTTGAAATCTAAGGACAGGCTACATCAAGGCACTGTTGGCAATGGCTGGCCGGACTACACGCAGTGACTCAAGCATGGCCATCGATGCATTGAAGGACTCAGACAAATTGAAGATACCGAGGGAAAAAACACTTGTAGTGAGATGCGGCATGATGCGGTGGCGGCCGTGTTTTTGCTTCGATTTATCAGGAGCTGTTTCATGGCACATTGCTGCCAGACCGGAAATTGAAGACGCTCCAACAGATGGAGCCTGTGCGCCTGGGCTTGGTCAGATCTGAGGAGTTTTCGAATGGAGTGTTTGGCATACCCGGTAATTACAGCAGACCGGGCATGGCTGAGCTCACTAAGGTCCCCGAAAGGTTTGAAAAAGTCAACCTTCACTGAGATTTGCGTTGTCAGCTTTTTCGAGGAGCTACAGTATCGGTTAATGTTTCAAGGGTCATCAGGCAGTCCAAGTCATGCTGTCTAGCAGGGAGCTGGGGACACGGCTGGGACGTGTGCTCTTCAGATCTATTCCGGCGCTTCCCCGCACTTCATCGAGTGAGATGCGGTCGCAATTGTCTGAGTTCCAGCTGCATGAACCTGCCAGGACTACTTGAAGACTGCATACGCAGCGTTCGTGCAGGCAGGGCTAGTAAGCATATGTAGAACAGAGGGGCAGTGAACTGAAAGTCTTCCAGCAAAATTGTGATTTCGATTTGACTCATTGCAGCAGCGCCAGAAACCTCCATGAGGAGAGTTTGTGGTTAAGCTCAACATCTCTGCGAAAGAGTTTACGATGTAAAATGATCTTATTCCAAAGCCTCACAAAAATTGGTGGCATAATTTTGAAATGCAGCCACAGCCGCATAAGCACCCAAGGATATGGACAGATTCACAGCATAGTTTTACAAAACCGCTCATTTATCGGATTTTATCGGTTCTCCGGTTCTTCAAGATTGCCAAATCCAAACGTTATCAAGCAAGCAAAAAGCACAGCCGCTGGAGGGGGTGTTGTCAGTGTAATTATTTGCGTTACCGTTCGCCCCCCCCTCCCGCCAGATCCTCGCAGCAGCTGGGCACAATACAGTGGTGTTCATCAAGAACCGAGCTGTGAAAACTGCCTATGACCTTCTGTCCTGTCCTCAACCTCTGCAAGCTGAATGAGGACACTCAGTCACCTGTGGGCAGAATTTGTTGGCTTTGGTCGATTGAATGCCGAACGCCCAAGGTCTGCAAAGCCAGAACAAGAAAAGGCCCTGTTGTCCATGTTGATCAACAAGCTGGGTGACTCCTCTAGCAAGGCCACATGCGGATGACAATGCGTAATTGCAATATTTGCATCAATACTGGCTGGATGCATTTGGATCATTTGGAGTCGAAGTGCGCACTAAAGACGTGCAGGTTTGGATCTGTTTGATTCATGTTGGTTCGTTGATCATGTTGATCCACGTTGGTCCATTTTGCAGATAGTGCAGGTTTCATCCAATGTTTCCTGGTGCATCAAAGAGCTGCTGAAACAACATCCTGGCATGAAGTTGCCCGTGCTCAAGGAGCTGTCCAAAATCCCAAGGTGAAATCAGTGCATCAAAATCATCAAAGCGAATCGTAAATGTGAAAGACATAAACCAAGATATAAAGACGGTTATAATCAATTATATAAAGACATACAATCATATAAAGACTATCTAATGCCTTGACGCTGGAGAGGGTGGTGATGTGCCCCAGCCGTACCAGCCGTACCAGCCATAGCTGCAGGAGGCGGAAGCCTTTTTGGCGCGACCAAATATCACAGCGAATTCCAAATACTTTGCTTTGCTGCTTCTGTCCGTCACTTGGCGACGACTTGGCGACGACTTGGCGAGCAGAAAGTCTCATTAAGGTCTAGTGATTCGGTGGCAGGTGCTAGACTTCGTACGGCTCACTGCATACAGTTGGTGCGTGCAATGCACAAGGAGATAACCTTCAGCCAGAAGGATGGGCAGGTGGCTTCGCGTTTGGTGCGACTTTTCGTGTCCCAGTTGGAAGTGGCACTCCGAAAACCGAAGCTCAGCAAAAAGGACCTGGCCTGACTGCATGTTCGGATCATTTTATGCATTTTCCACGTACTTGCCCAACAGGCCGAACAGGAGAATCATCAGAGAATCATTAGATCGAAGGCAATGGCATGGCCAAAGAGACCTTTCCTTGGTCTAATGTCATTGTGTCTTAGGGGCTTCCATGGGCTTCCATGACCTTCCATGGGCTTCCATGGGCTTCCCTTGTTTCCCTTAAGTGAGCGATGTGAGGCCTATGGCCTATGGATGGTTCTTGAGGGTTCTGGCCACATGACGCATGACGCTACTCAGAACCGTGGTTGCTTGTGGTGATTGAGTATGATTGAGTCTATAGTTCCCAGATGTTCCCAGCATGTCCTATCTATCTTAATTGATTCATAATAATTTCAAATTGTCGAATGCAGCTGGAAGATCTGGAAGCCTCGGCTCAATGCCGGAGGAGTTCCAGCGAAGAAAGAGAGGCCTTGCCCCGAAGAAGCAGAAGGTCCAGCCGCTTCGGGAGGAGGACAACAAATTGGTGCGGACGCTCATCAATGGTATCCCTGGAAGCACATGTTTGACACGTAGATATGTTCAGAGAGTCTGCATTTGTGATGTACATGTTTCCATATGTTTCCGTTTTTCATGTTTTCTGAGTTGTGAGCACGGTTGCTCAATGTTTTACATTGCGAAGTGGTACGCCCAGGCATTCGCCGTGCCATGCCCTATGTCGATGCTGTTGGTGGCGCACCGTTGGAGGAGGAGACAGTGAATTCACTGTTCAAAGTCTGCCATACGGTGAATGCTTACTCCACAAGAGTCCGAGCCTGAGAAGTCCACTAAGAACAACCATCTCCCCAGCACCGTAGATCCCTCAACAGAACACATGTTGATGACTCCTTGATGACGCTTGCAATGGCAAGCCCCCTTTGCCTTTTAAAATCTTGTGACATTTGTTGATGCACCCCCGCCGAACGATGCAGCGCCATGGCTAACCTTCCCCAGCACCTGTGAACTTTGAACCTGTTTGAGGTTTAAAACATGGCTTGATATGGTTTGATTGCCTTCTCCGTAGTATTGGTTTCATAGGAATTCAAACATGGCCTAGTTCAAACACGTTCAATCGCTATATCATATGCCCGCTGGAATTCTAGGGTTCAAACATGCTAAAATCATGGCAGATGCTGAACATCAGCGTCCGTCCGGGCTGGGCTTTGGAAACTTTGGCCTCAAGAAGGCCAAGGATGCAACTGACGAAACCAAAAAGCCATCCAAACCAAGACAGTGGAAACCGTGGAGAGATAGGCTGGCAGATCATGCTGATACTGTGCTTTTCATCCAAGCTTTCCAAGCTCCTTTGGATGAATCATCAGAGTTCAAGCGCCAAGGGGTCATGACAATCTCTGCCGATGGCGCTGCGACCGTGTACAATTTGCATCAGGTCACTTCCAACCCCATGCGCTTGTACGGCTTTCAGCTGCAGGTGACCGATGCCGGGGCCATCACAAGTTTGACGAGTGACACAGCCCCAAGCTCCGCAGCATGCTGTAACCTCCGCTGCTCTTGGGAAGTGCCTCCACCAAGTGTTCTGTATGGGGGGCATGTGAGTGGAAAGGTGTCAGCATGGTCAGCAAAAGGTGCTTTGCTACTGGAAATGGCTGGGCACACTGCAGCTGTCACCCTCATTCGGTGTCTCAGCACTCTTGAGCGCTTGCACCCTGAGAATGAGGATACATTATCGGATACATGTGGGCCAGAGCCTGATCTTGCAACTGCATCCATGGATGCCAGCATCCGCATTTGGAGGCTTGTGCTAGAGAGCAGCGCGGAGTGCCTCTTCATTTTGGACTTCGGGATTCGAAATCCAGTTTCTGACTTGGTGCTTCTCTCACCTGAGGAATCGGTTGTGTCCACCTGGGATGGCCAAGTACGTTTTGTCAGTTTGGCACACCGGGCTTGTTCGAAAGCAGTGCAGGTGGCGATGGGACAAGTGAGATCGATTTGCCGTTGGCGTCGCAAAGTGGATGATGAGTGGCAGATTTTTGCTGGCACTGATGAGGGTAACATCTCCTGTTGGGCCTCAGGTGGGTTTCCTGGCCTCACACCCAACTTACCAGGATCAGCTGGACTGCTTCAACAAAGGCTATCTTGGCAAGGCCATTGGAGTCACGTAGTTTCTCTGAGCATTTGCCAAGATTGGCTCATTAGTTTGGCTGAAGATAAGTTGATTCGCATTTGGGATCCATTTTCCGGGAAGATGATTTCGGAGTATTGGGGCCATGGTGCTGGTGTTGTGAGCACCTGCACCACGTGGCCACTGCTTTGGACCGGGTCTCGAGACCATACCGTGCGATCTTGGGACCTTGGGGAGATCAAGCGACAGCTTGAGGAAACAGCTGCAATGGAGCTGTGCGATGCCCAATCCTTCCAGTATGAAGTGACCTTTTCTCGTTTGACCCTGAAGCAACTCAAAAAGTTGGCCGCTGAAAAGAAGGCGGCCAATAAAGGTGACAACAAAGGGGGAAACACCCGTGGTCGCCGATAGATCCGATAGAGAGCACTGAAATCCGGGTGCTTCACAAAGTTTCGTTCAGGATTTAGAGGTGCATGCTCAGCAAAACACATAGCACAGTTTGTTCGCGAATCGTCATGGAAGAGCAAGATGCAGTAGCACTCCAACAAGCATATGATGGTCACATGAATCAACCACACGTCCGTATGTTCCAGTCTACCACAGACAAACGAATCGACATGAATCGACAGTATCGACAATGACATACAATGGCACAGCATAAGTTCAGACATGTTCAGACTTTAGACAGATGACATCAGATGACACAGGGACCGTTCTTTTCTGAGGCCAGTATCCTGGGTTTGCTGTACCGAGGGCTTGGTGCTGGCGATCCGCCAGACCGCTTCTACAGGCGAAAATCACCAGGATCCCATAATGTTCCATGTAGATCTGCAGATCCAGTACAAATATGTACAAATCCCGTATAAATCCATACATCCACGTTGCACATGAGGGTGTGACGAATCGCTTTGACATGCTTTGACGCATTTCAGAAAGTTGATGGCAGCTCGGGGAGGCTTTTGTATGAGCAGATTGGGAACTTTGATTTCTTCACCAGCTCCCATTCGTGGCAAGCCTTCACGTTGCTGCAGACACTTGTCACAGTTTCCTTCTGATCCGAAAGATCTGTGCCGCTGCAAGCTTTCTAGAATCGCAATTAATCATGCTTTGAGATCTGCTCCGCTGCACTAGGCAGATCTAGGCAACATGTTAAAGCAACCTGTTAGCGAAAACAAACGATGAAAGCATTCCAAGCCACCGTTGCCCCAGGAAGTGTGTGCCAGCGGATGCTTCTTGCGCAAGAGGAGTGGCAGTAGCGCGGCGCCTTCTGTGCTGCCCTCAATGCGTTCAACACGTATCAACACGTGGTGCATTTGTTTTTTTGATATGGAATAATGTAGCAATGTCGAATTGCCATAGAAGGACCAGGTAGTAAAGTAAAGAGTTAGTCTTCTCACTTGCGGTATGCTCAAAACGTGTTAACCTCTCTTTCTGGGCATTAAGCACCGCCCGTTTTGGATATTCACTTTCCCAGGCAGCTCGGCGTTGGCACGGAACCGATGATCACTGTGGCTTCCCTGGGAGTGATGCGAGATTTGTTTGCTGTCCGGAGGAGAGGAAGAGCACTGTTCAGCATCGCAAACATCGCAAACCTACTGCAAACCTGATGAACCACGTTCTAAACTTCTAAACCCTCTCGTTCATGTTTAGGAAGGGGCCCCTTGTAGGGTGTGGCGTAAGCAAAACTCTGGTGAGCGTAAGCCAGCATAAGCTCAGCGTAAGACAAGATATCCGCGTAAGCAAAACCTGTGTGCGCGTAAGCAAACGTAAGCACCGGCATAAGCATTTCCTTATTCGGTGCCAGGATAAAAGACCTTTAGAAAATGGCCCCGATGGATTTCTCAGTGGACGTGCCATGGTTCACCGCAGGATAGAGATGCTGCCCTTGATGCACACAGTCGACCGAAAGGTTATTCCCGCTGAAGAGGAAGGCACCGGCAATGTTGAGGAGGAACATTTTGTGGATGACGATGTGGCACAAGCATCCAAGGCTCCCAAGGACTCGCCATGGATCACCATGGCATGGAGGGAAGACTTTGGAAGACAACATAGACAACTGGACCCTGTGAACAATATTGCATACTAAATCATAATAAAGCAATATAAATCATTATGAAATCCATAAAGCACCCGAGCCCACTAGCACTTAATGATCTTAATGGAGCCGCAGCCTCGCGCCCTGCCAGGACACACATTACGACCCCATGGCACGAGAGCCGCGCTTCGCCAGGGCACGCAACGCCCCGTTTTGGGAATTGCAGGCTTTGTCGAGTGACATGATTGCATTATATTATTGCATTGGCACTGTTCCTATGTTCCATTTGTTTGATTTATCGGTATGTTTATTTCTTGGTGTCCATTCAGCAACATCATGCCAGACCAAAGGGTTGAGACATGATGTGATGATGTTCATAGTGATTATGTTTTATTGGTATTTATTGGTGAGTGACTCAAGCAGCTTGCACTGAAGGCCATGTTCATCCAAGTGTCTCACACTATGCCCAGAAATTACTGCGTGCTGAAGCCTACCAGGCATCATGGCTTCACGGATGTACTGTCGTAACCTGCTGGGTTTCACTCAATGGAGCAGTTCCTCAGTTCCCCTAGCGGTATGCACAATAAGTTGCATACAGTCGTATTATGTCGTATTAATATGAAATGTATTCCTTTGTATTCATTACATTCGTGATTCATACATTGCTGTACTCATACACTGCACACTTTTGTCGATTTTCGATGTGCTTTTGTTTGGACCAGCCGGAGTGACATCACATGGAGACCCCCTGGGACTGCAGGACGCGCCAGCGAATCCATTCGACGTTTTCTCTGTCTCGGAACTGCTGGACCAATTTGCCTATCACTCCCGCGTCAAGCGCGAACGGAGAACAGGCAAGAAAATTGTGCCCTGGCTGCTGTTTGTGACATGTTCAGAGGGCTGAGCATGCCAAAAAGATCCGAACAGAGATTGATCATCAATTAATTAGTTTTTGTCAAGACTTCAAGAAGTCCTTGATTTTGTTTTGGTGGTGTTGCAACTGAGGAAGGAGTCAAATCTGCCACCATGAACTCTGAGACATTCCTGAAGCGAAAGTCATCACAGCCCCATGAAAGGCGCGTCATGGCACATAGGATTGCACTGCTATTCATGTGCTAAGTGTGCAGCTGTTATGCCTGGTGTTTTTCGGGAGGTTCTTCAAGTCGTACTTCACAGATCCAAAAGTGAGAAAAGAACAAGAGCGAAAAAGAAAAGCCAGAAAGAAAGAAGTGGACGATGTGGATGAAGAGGAGGTGCGGAGTGCAGCACGCCAGAATTCTTTGGAAAGGTTTCTAGAGCCATAATAATCGGCAACATCTTAAGATTTAAAATGTTACAGAATGATCAAGAATGCTTGAGGTTGTCTCGGAGACATGTTTGGTAGTTCTGGCATCACTCATCTAGTTCTTGATTCTTTCTGAACCTGGGAGGATGGACAGGAGGAGGACGAGTTCTTTGATGAGTACTTGAAAGGAGAAATGCAGGATGCCGACGACGATGACGAGGACGATGTGGATCCTGACGACGATGACGATGACGATGATGACATCGATGATGAGGGCTTCGATGACGAAGGTCCTGAGGACGACCAGGAGCAAGGCCGGCTGCGGTAGTTGCAGTAGCCTGAATCTGAAGGAGCACCGAATGGTTCGCGTTCAGTCATGTATATCATGTAATTATATCAGGTATATCAGGTATTGATTTGTGGTGCACCATGTATTGTCACTATCATGCTGCAGCATGCTGCATCATGCTGCATCATGGTTTCTAACATTTGCCTGTCACGTTTTTTCTCCATTTTATCGAATTACGTAGGTTGGCTGGACGGGCTAGGTGATGAAGCACACTTGCATGCCGCATAATGTTGCACGGAGGCACCTCAGATGAAAGTGAAGCGGGCGTCTTTTGCGACGCTGACGTCGATGAAGACGACGTTGTAAAGAGCACAGCGAGAGGGAAGAAGGACTGGAAACCCTTGGTGATAAGTTGAGTGAAATGAAGGGGAATGTGAAGTGATGAGATGTGATGAGCAGCAACAAAAGAAGCACAATAGCATGACATAATTCAATAAGTTATTTATGTTGGGAATCTGGGGGTGCTTTATGTTCAATGATGGGAGTACCTTCCCATTTTGCAAACGCAGGCGAAGCAGACCAGGAAGGAGAAGCTGAAAGAAATCCGTAAGAAACATAAGGGCTCAGCCTCGATGTTTGATGCTTAGAAGCTGTCCACTGAGATCCACTAAGTTTGACCAAGCAATCTACGCATATATCTGGACATGTTGGAAATGTCCCAGATTGTTGTAATGCAAACTCACTCTTTGAGTACAGCGGTGTCATTGAGTGTCCCCTAGGTTTGCTTCCATTGATGATTTCCAGCAGCTACTGGATGCGGATGGCTACAGCTAACCGTGGAAAAAAGCGACGCGCGATGACAGATGTTGAGTTGCAATCGGGTGCAAAGTCCACTGAAGTGGACACTGATTCATGCTTATTAAATATATTTAAATATTATTCCATCTTGTTCAAACATGTAATTATTGTTTTCGGTATGCGTGCGCATATGCATACGTCCTTCATGCAATGTATTCTAGTGGGTATCAATCTGAGGCCTTTACTTCTCCGCAAGACAGGTGGAAGTCCACACCGTTGCAGGACAGTGGATCACTTGGATCACACTTCAAGAAATGAAGGCGAATTGGTCCATTCACTTTGCATTTGCAGGACGCCATACGTGCAGGGCATACAGATTGCGCTCGGCTTCTTGCTTTTACGGGTGGCTTTCTGGGCTTCTTGGCATGAGAGTCCAGTCCGGTTTCATTCAGCAATATTGCAGTTTGGCAAGATGCATGTTGCAATTTTATGCAATTTTCCTGCGCTGAGGGATATTTCTTTTGGCCTTAGGAGTTATGACCGGGGAGGGGTCAGATTAAGATAGATTAAGATTTCCACCTCACGTTGGTTGCTTTCAATCAACCGAATCAACACGAAAACCAAGGCGACTCGGCCACCGACGAGGACAGGGACAAGCTATGCAGCGTCATCTCCGAGGACGGGGAGTTGGAGGGACATGGAGGGACAGGGTTAAGGAAAAATGCCTTTGTGGAATCTTCTAGAACTATAAATGAATTATAGATATTATAGAATTCAAATGAATTCAAGATTGGATAGATATTGGATGATATTGGGCAGTTGATCTTTCCAGTAGTTTCTTAGTTGATATTTGAGTACGTGATGTACACACCGATATGTGGAGACCATGTGATAATTCATGACGAATTTATTGGGTACGATTTTACCACGGGGGGTATCATAAACCGTACCCAATACATGCCTTATGAATTACTGTACGAATTGGGTTTACATGGGTTTACCATTGGTTTACCTGTAAAGTTTACCCCATTGTATCTTATGGCCTCGACGGTCCCCGGCCTGATGGGTTGGTCGAAGTGAGTGTGATGGGTGGCATATGGTGGCATTACTTTGAAAGGACTTCTCCTCTCCAAACACCTGGTCAGAGGTGCAGAAGTTTCAGCGCAACCTGCTTCAATTTGGCCAAGCTGCTGTCAGACGTATTTACTTTATCTTTATTTTACTTTCATACAGATGTGTACAGTAAGGATATGGATATGGAGGTTGGGAATGGTTGGGGTGAAGCCAAGGCCGCATGAATGAGCTGAATCAGCGGGTTTCTCGCTTGTTGGTGGCAGTTGCAAAGGGCAAAGCCAGGCTGGCTATCAGAAAGGTGATGGATGGTGATGGATGGTGATGGATGCTTCAGCCTCTTCACCAAGTCAAATGACTTTCGATTCCCTCGGCATCTTTTGCCACTAGGGTTTGGACTCCTTCTGACTCCTTCATTTCAGCTGTGCTTTGGGACGGATAAACAGGTTGGCTTGTTGAGTGGACCTCGGCTTGTTGCACCAGCTGCGATAGGCCAGAAGTCTTTGACGCAGAGGCTTGCACAAAGTTCAACCGCCAGCTGATTTGTGCCACTCGGATTGATGCAACGCATTGCAACGCTCACAGGATCATGCAGCGTTTGAAGGCCTTTGTCCTATCACGGGGAGAGACTTACACACCTGAAAATGTCAACCTGAGCCCGCACCAAGAGACACCAAGCGACACCAAGGCAGTCTTCAAGCAGTGCCCGCAGCTAGCAGACAGCATGCTAGCATTGGCTTTGGTTTTTCGCAGGCTTTACGTGCCAGGGCTGCCAGGGCATCGCTCAGATGTCGTCATATGGGATTTCGTTGTTTACATTCGGGTGGTGATGCTACGCAGGGCCAGACTGGTTGCTGCTGCTAACTCGTGCTGCTGTCAAAACTACTGGTTTCACTTTGTTTATGCGTGTTTGATTTCACGGAATACCTTTGCATTTCACCACGTATGTTTGTTGTTGTTTTCTGCTGAACTTGTGCCTCCTCCACATTTGTCCTACATTTATGCCGCAACTCTTCACCTAGCTTGCGAAGAGAGCCGGCTTAAACTCAACAACTCGCCTTCTGCAAGCAGAACTAAGGCAGATGGGGTCGTGCCCTTGCAGTCCTTGACGACCCTGCTTCAGGCACTGAGTTTGCTTTCACCTGCAGCCAGAAAATGTTCAAGAACTCACAGTCTGAAGCATCTGAAGCCATTGGAAAGCAGTTTTTGCTTGAAGTTGCGGCTGCTCAGAAATTGAAAAATTGAAGAGAGGGTTGGTAACTGAAGTCTTTGCATGTCTTTGCAGGATTGTGTTGACTGCACAAAGCACTGCAAATGGTGGCTGTGGTATGCGAAGCAGGGGCATCTTGCTTGCACATTCTGCAGAATTGCTCCGTGTCATTTCGTGTTAATGAAGGATGAGTGGATTGAAACACATTGAAGACCTCATCCTCACACAGATCAAACATGATCAAGCAGGAAACCGGGAAGGACTCTAAAGAAAGGTCGGAAACATCGCCCTATCTCTGGGGCAACAGCTTCAATTTCCGAAGGAAGGAAGAGAGGCGCACGAGCATTGCGAAGTCCACGCGCGAGCCGAAGATTGAGAAGTCTGCCAGTGCCATCACGATCCTTGCCATACCAAGAGGTCAAAAAAGATTGCATGAAGAATCATAAAGATATGAAATTATGGGACCGGTAATGTCACTAAATGGACATTGACAACCATGAGCATGCAACATGATTCTACAAGTGATTCTACATATTCTACATGCTGCAAGTTTGATTAGTAAAATGAATATATTTATATATATATATATGATATGTAATGTAATGTATGTAGGTAGGTAGGTAATGTAATGGTATGTAATGGTATGTAATGGTATGTAACGGTATGTAACGGTATGTAACGGTATGTAACGGTATGTAATGGTATGTAATGGTATGTAATGGTATGTAATGTGTTGTTGCACAGTAGTAGTCTATGTATAGTAGTTTCACCTCTAACAATGTGTTGTGTATGGCTCAAGAAAGAGTGCCTTTGGCAGGTAGTATTGGTACTTGGGATTAGTGGTTGTTACCGGCCTTTATCCCGTTTCTACAGGTTATCGGCCGTATCGCCAAGCGATCGCTGGTTTCCTTTGTTTCACTTTCTCGCTTTTCCTCCCTTCACTCGCGATGGCAACTTCCCCTGCTTTACCTGCCCCGGGCGGGAACGCCACGGCTGCCCTTGCTATCGCAGGTGCAACGCGGCCGGAGGAAATGGTGATCCATTCTGGAGCAGCTACAACGGAAGGTGACATGAGCTACTTGGATGAGGACTTTGACCCATGCCGTACTGACCCACGCCGAAACATGCCAGGTGTCTTGGATGCCAACAGTGAGACCAGCCAGTTGAACACAATCAATTTCAACAACGTTGATCAGCGTACCGCCAACTTGGCAGTGGTACATCAAGGAGTTGATCCGGCCCTGGCAGGTCAATTGATGGCTGCACAGCCGCAAGCATTGTAGACTGAGGCTAATGCGCTTCATGCTGAGGTCATGGAACGTCAAAGGGAAACGCTTGTGAGCGAAGCTCGAGATCGTCTTACAAGCATTGAACAAAGAGCAGCCGATGAGATTTCTGAGAAAAACCTTTTGTTGAATGAACAAGCTGCCCATGCGATGAGCGAGCAGAAATCTGCTCAGTTGCACGTCCAAGCGCAAGACCATCGCATCAAGGAATTGAGTGCCGAACTAAGTCGAATTGTTAATACTGCAGGTCTTATGTCAGCATCTGTAAACAAGTCCAATGCCGATTTTCTTGCAGCTCGTTCTGAACTTGCAGAGTATAGCACTCAGCTCGATGCTATGAATCAACATTCGCTGGACATGAAAAGAGCGGCCGATTCTCAGAGACGGGATTTTGAGGTAGAGATTGAAAAGCTTCGGGAAGAACAGAAAGAGTTGATTCTAAGTTTGAAGTCTCAACCTCTGGAGGGAACTCCTGGACTTGAAATTCTTTATGGACCAGGTCAACCTCACCAACAAACGTCTCAACCATCAAGGCCAATCATTGAAGAACTTGATGTAAGTGGAAAGAAGCCTGCTCACTCATCCGATGCGGATGATGAGAACATTGCGGCAGGACCCTTCAAACCACCGGGTCTTCTGGATGGTGAACCTCCTGATGATGACGACGACTTCGACGATGACAAACGAGGTCGAAAGGATAAGAAGCATAAGAAGAAAGGCCGAAAGGCCAGTCGAGGGCGGTCAAGACGCCGAATGACGCCGACGCCGTCGAGACCCATCCTCTTCACCTATATCGTCTTCATCACCTACCACGTCCAGTTCGAATTCTGAGAGTTCCTTTGCACGTAAGGTTAGGAAAGCTTTAGAGCATTCTAGAACATCCGATACTAAAGCCAAAGAGTCTGATCGGGTGCTAGTACCTAAGTTTCCCCAGCCTGAGAATTACAGGAACTGGAGGATCAGAGTAAGGGATGCCGTAATAGCAGCTGCTGCTAAGCCCGGTCTAGCTTCTCAGTGGATTGAGGAAGTCTTCAAGAGGGATCAAACGGCTGAAGCCTTGAAGGACTCAGGTAAGTTCGTGACTGTGGACGCAAAGCTCATGTCTTCGCTCACCAACATCTGCGAAGGGGATTTTGCACGGCAACTTGACATTTTTAAAGAAGAACAAGCAAAGTCCGGAACACCAGCCCGAGGATGTCAGGCATTGCTCATGAGCCATAAGCATTTCAGTACGGGAAGAAAACATGGTGCAGTGTATGACATTGAAGATCTAATGGCTGTTACATGCTGTTACCTTAGTCAACGACGATCTGCGGGGTTTCATCACTAGGTGGGACGCCGTGATCGCTGGAATGACTTCCGAGCCTGATACCATGTGGAAGCAAGCCTGCTTTCACAATGCCATCAAGAACTTCAAGCCCCTTTCTCATGATCTGGCTGTGTACGATCGCACACCGGAGGGGGAACCCAACCGCTCTTATGAGTTTCTCATGAAGGCAGCAAGGGATTACCTCGAGAGAAAGCGTCTTGAGAAGATGCGCCAGGCAACGAAGAAGTCGGTTTCAGGTAAGAGAGACGCCGCACCAGCGCCCAACAGACCACCGTCTGCGGGCAAGCCTCAGGGCATTTGCTATGACTTCCAAGCAGGCAAGTGCACAAGAGGAAAGGATTGCCGATATAAGCATGAGAAGTCAGACAAAGGCAAAGGTGGAGGTAAGAAAGGTAAGTCTAGGTCCAAGTCAAGAGGCACTAGTCGTTCTTTGTCTCCTGGATCTAGGAATCAAGTTTGCAAGTTTTGGAAGGCAGGGAAGTGCCATCGTGGCAGTGAATGTGCTTTTCAACACCCGCCGAAGCCTGCAGCCCCATCCACAAAGGATGAAGCGTGGGAAGAGCCAGTCCAAGAAGAAGAAGAAGGGTGACCGATCCAGGTCGTCAAGTCGAGGTTCCAATTCCTCGAAGGGCTCTCAGAGCCTCAAGGACAAAGGGGGAAACCATCTTCCTCTGGCTCAGCTGCAGTTTGCCTGATGCGCGCTCTGATGATGGTCGCAGTCGTTCACCCTTCGACCAGCACTCATCGCGTGCCGGAAGGCATTGCCTCCACACAGCTTCACAACCAGCATTTTGCCATGCCAGTTACACCCAATCGCACTGTTTCATTTGGGAGCAACATTGAAACCTTTGAAGTTCCCATTGAGCATGAATGTAATTTGAATCCACGCCATGCCAAGCAGAGGACACATAACCCAATTTGCATCACAAGGGACGATCGTCATCGTAAAGAGACGATCGAAGCTCGTGAGAGTGACGCCATACTTGCCGCACAAATGTTGCAGTCAGCTGTCTTCAGGGAGTTGCATGGAAAATCTTGCAAATGCAACTTCGCATGCGACAGTGACATCGGCTGTCGTCATTGCATCCGTTCCGACCTGAAAGCCCTGCCAGGACACATGCCGTCCCAGCAGCGTAACGCATCCGCTGAGATTGCATGGATCGCAGACACTGGTAGTGCTCAGGACCTAGTTTGCAGTAAGATGATTCCCGAAGACGTAGTGTATCATTTTCATGAACCCCTTGAATTAATCACAGCCAATGGATCTCAGTCAGCTGACCAACAAGCATCCGTTCACATCGATTGCATTGACAAAGAAGTTCATCCTTATGTTCTTCCCGATGCTCCCGCGGTCATTTCTGTAGGAATGAGATGCGTTCAGGATGGATGGGATTTTGTTTGGAAAAGCTTTAGCCGTCCGTATTTCAAGAAGAAAGATGGAACGAAGATAAAACTTGAAGTAAAAGACTACGTTCCTTATTTACCATCTAGAGATGGCCAGGTACCCGCAGCAGTAGAGATTCCATTTTCGTGCGACTCCGCTGCCGGGAACGGCAAGCCCATTATCTCACCAGTTCGAAGGTCTCGTGTGTCGGCAGTTGGTACCGAGTCTGAAGATGAAGTCGAAGAGGTGGAAGAGCCTTACGAGGCGTCCATCGCTGACGATGACGAGGTTCTCGGACATGCTGACGACAGCCTTGACGAGTTTTTCCTTGGTGAGCTTGCACCAGGACCTCCGGCAGCTATGACGCCTGACATCAATGAGGGTTCGGAAGATGAGGTCGAAGCTCCTGAAGAAGCAGTCGACGGTCGACTTCTGTTGCCTAAACCTAAAGCTCTTGATCGTGGTGAAGCTGCATTGAGGGAAGAGGCCAGGACTCTTAGGCACATGATGACACACACCCCAAAGAACCCGTACTGCGAAACTTGCAAGTGTGCTAAAATGTACAAACCAACTAAACGTAGTAAGGGTGAATCTTTGACTGTGGAATCCAACAAGTTTGGGGATCACATCACCGGGGACCATCTTGTGACTAGAGATTCAAACGAACAATCGATTGATGTGACAGGGTTGCCATGGTCATGGAAGATGTTGCTACCAACTTTCGATGGATTTATCCTTCAGCTAGAAGTCATGCCAAAGACTGTGTTTTAGCATTTAGGCACTTCGTTGCACCCGGTGAAGAAGTTGGAGTGTTCTACTCTGACGCAGCGCCATCCATCAAACTCGCTTGTCGGGAAGTTGGGTGGAGACAAAACACGAGTGTAGCTTATGTTTCTAAGTCTAATGCAGTCGCCGAGAGGAATCTCAGGTCCGTACTCGAAGGGACTGGAGTGGATCTTGAACAGGCGGGACTTCACCACTCCTACTGGAGCTATGCTTCACGGCATTGGTGTATGGCTCACAACATCCAGGATCACCCCGAAATCAAATCCCCCTGGGAACTTCGTTTTGGGGAAAAGTTCAAGGGACCCAACATTCCTTTTGGGGCTCGTATTGATTACTGGACTGGACCAAAGTTGAAATCCAAGAAGGACTTGCATTTTGATCCAACTTCAAATCCAGGTATCTTTCTGGGATATGCCATGCAACCAGGTTTCATTTGGAGGAACGAATTTCTTGTTGCTCCGTTGAAGGACCTCATGGAAAAGGATTTCAATGAATCGGTTCAGGTTGTCCATGTCAACCAACTTACTGTACCTGATGGACCATTTGTTTATCATTTGAAAGGTAGATATAAGGCCATTAGGGAAGGTTTGCATGAAAGCCTCAGCCTTGATGCGCCTCCAGACCCAAAGAAGATGGATGCTCAAACTATCGAAGACTTGGTTTCTTCGAAGAAAGCCATCGCTCAAGGATCTGTGGAAGGAGAAGAGGAGTTCGAGGAGTTGATGCGGGAAGCGGGACTTGAGACAGACGACATTGAAGTTATTAACCCCATCACTGGTAGTGCCGAATACATTTCAAAGGATGACCCTTCTTACTACGATTCTAGTGGTTTTAAGGGAAGATGTTAAAAAGGATCCTCCAAACCAAAGGACATTCCAACATTTCTTTGGCGGGGGGCCTCTAAAGCGGCCAGAGAACGTGCCAAACGTGAAGCCTTGTTGAAAGAAGCAGCGGAGAAGCACGATGCAGCTGTTGCCAAAGAACGAAAGTATAACAGGGTTATTGAACGTTTTGCCACTTCAGCTGTACTTGAATCCAAAGATGGCGTCAAGTCTTCCGATGATTTCATTCCCGTAACGCCAGTCATCTCCAATGCGGGGGGCTCGCATGGTGGAAACCATTGCCATAGAGACAAACTTCAGGATCAGTCAGAGCTCATGTGCTTTCACTTTTCCAACGCACTCGTGGCAAGACCCGTTGGACAGAAGGAGATCAACAATATTCCCAAAAGCTGCACCCGACAAAGAATGGAATAACCTTACCAGTAAGGGTGCATGGGATTATTCTACCGTTAGGGAATGGGAAGATGTTTCAAGGGAAGCTATGAAGAACAAAACCAAAGTTCATGTAGGAAAGATCTTCGAGATTTGTGTTGAGAAGGGAAGTGAGCTCCCGCTGGGTGACCCCATGCGCAAGTTTAAGGGTCGCACCGTGTTTCAGGGAAACAACGTCAAGGACGAGGCGGCCGATGTTGCCTTGTTCGCGGAGCCCGGAAGTTCACCGGCCAATATGGAAGCAGGAAAAGCAGTGGATGCTTATGGCTCCATGCCGGGGAACCGGACATCGCAGGGCGATGGAAAACAAGCATACACCCAAGCATTGATGCAAGGTATCCTAACATGGATTAGGCTACCACGGAATCGATGGCCAAAAGAATGGATTGGAGTGTACAAAGATCCGGTTGTTCTTCTTGTTTTGGCATTATATGGTCACCCCGATTCGGGGGGTCTATGGTAACGTCATTGTGAGAAGGCATTATATGCAGTCGGGTTTCATCCTCTATATCCCGAATGTTGGCCGTCCATGTTTTGGCATCCCAAGTTGAAGTTATTACTTGGTGTTTACATTGACGATTTCAAGATGTCAGGACCTTCAAACAACATCGATGAGGGGTGGAAACTCATTTCTTCTCAAATCGACATGGATACTCCCGAAGATGCAGGAAGATATTTAGGAAGCGAACATGTCTTCAAACAGAATGTCAAGTGAGATGTTAGTGCTCATCCATTTGCCCATGTCTTTGATGCAAGCATCCCGGATCCTCCTAGTAAGCCAGCCAGTCCGGCCCGCCGAACAAGGGACTACTGGGAGCACATGCCGGAACTTGGAGTTTGTGTTCATCATCACCTGCAACCTCGCAAGAAGTTCCAGGACAAGCCGAAGGACAATATGTCTTTCCGGGCGGGAACGCGCCGGCTTACCGTGTGTGAACCCTGTCAGACTCAAGATGAACCCAAGGACTATGTTCATAATATGGAATCTCAAAACTCAACTAGACTCCCATTTTAGGTGGACGGGATCGACCTACTTTGTGGACAAGTCAATCCAAGATCCCTCAAAAGCTTTAGCAGCAGCTAAGAAAGTCAGAGACAAATCGGGGGCAAAGAAGGCAGCTAGAGCACAAGGATTCACCTTTCTTGATGAACTTGAGCAACACAAGTCAAAGTGCACGACAAAGAATGTCAATACAGTCGAATATGACATGAGACAATTCTTGCAACAATGTATTGATCGCTATGTTGAACTAGCAGGACCGAACGTTAAGTTCAAGAAAGTTACAACACCTTTCCCAGACGACAAGATCGCTCGTCCAATCATGGACGAAGCAGAAGCTCGGGGGGAACTCCAGCCTATTGCATCACGTGTGTTGATGAAAGTGTTGTTCGCAGCACGAATGGCTACTGTAGGTTTGATCTTCTCCGTGCCGCTCAGGGATTAGCAAGTAGGGTTACTACTGTAAATGGTCACCTGAATGCGACAAGAGTCTCCATCGCTTGATGTGTTATATCCATTCAACCCTTGATCGTACAATGGTTGGTTTTGTTGGAGGCCCACCTGAGAGTTGCAAAACTTGGTTATTTGCAGATTCCGATCACGCTGGGGAACATGACAATCGTTCAACAAGTGGATGTCTCCTTGCATTAGTAGGACCCAACACGTTTTATCCACTCGCAGCTTTTCCAAGAAGCAGACTTCAACGGCTATGTCTTCGACAGAGGCTGAAGTCACTGCGGCGAACCTCGCTTTGCGTGCTGTAGGTTTACCTTCCTCCTGCCTGTGGTCAGTCATATGTCACGCGGGGGGAGATAGCACTCAACAAAAGCAATCCCGCAGGGTGGAAGCTCGTGCCAAGAACCCCAAAAACATAAAGGATGATTATTGGAAGCACGTTCCTTACACCAATCAAGTTACCAGAGTTCATGTCAAACCCCGGAATAACCCGATTGATTCGGATTGCCCAGTGAACCTTCAGGGATTGGCTAGACTCGACAAAGGTACACCATTATGAAAACGAAAACTTGTGATGTTGAGTTTGACTTGACATGGGATTGGACGACTCCTGATGCTGATGTTGTCAATGACTTTGAATGGACCGGTAAAACTATTTTCAGAATTCCTGGGATGATTATTGGGAGCACGCTCCTTACACCAATCAAGTTACCAGAGTTCATGTCAAACCCCGGAATAACCCGATTGATTCGGATTGCCCAGTGAACCTTCAGGGATTGGCTAGACAAAGGTACACCATTGTGAAAACGAAAACTGGTGATGTTGAGTTTGACTTGACATGTGATTGGACGACTGATGCTGATGTTGTCAATGACTTTGAATGGACCGGTAAAACTATTTTCAGAATTCCTGGGCCAAACGAAGTTGACTATGGGGTTGAGTCACGTGAAATCAGATCTGCATTAACTGACTTCAAATACGTAGGATCTGAAAAGCGGGGGGATGAATGTGTGTACATGGCAGGACCGGGTAGTCTTGAGGTCATTTTCCTTGAGGACAACCGAGCCACCATTAGGATTCTTGAAAGTGGTAGGTCACCGTCATTTAGGCACGCTGACAAAACGCAAAGATTGAACTTGTCATGGTTGTCTGAACAATTCAAACGAAAACATTTCAGATTGGCCTATGTTGGTTCATCACTTCGAGCAGCGGACATCCTCACCAAGCCTTTTACCAACTCCGAGAAGTGGGAATCAGCTTTGCGATTGATGGGTATTTCATCACAGCCTGCTCCGCGGAAGGAGCAACAGAAGATGAAAGCCTGCGCAGGGGAACCTGCTTGCCCTTCCGTGGAGCTGATGGTCGAACGCCCTATGAGCGGTCTGCTCGAAAGCCCTGGCGTTTGAAGTTGCCAGAGTTTGGAGAGGGCATCTGGTATCAACCTTTGAAGGGTGAGAAGGAAGGGTCAAAGTTGGAGCCCAAGTTTGAGAGGGGCATTTTTCTTGGAGTTCAAGAAGGCAGTGCACCGAAGTGGATTGGCACCAACGAAGGGGTGGTGCGAGCTTGGTCCGTGAAGAGACGTCCTGAGGCTGAGCGATGGGTGGTGGATGATTTGAACCTGTACAGTTGGAAGCTTGGATGTGAACTTGCAAATGCCGTTTACTCAATGGCTCCAGGTGAAAGCCTTAGGATCTGTCATGACCTACGGGGGCTACTTGCACTCGGAAAAGGTGATCGTTGGTCTTGGTTGTCCCCTTGGGTTTTACAGTGGTAGCGGAGCCCGGTACCCCCGGGCCTTTTTGGGTTGTTTTGGGGTAATCACCTTTTCTTAGTGGAAGTGGCCCCCTTGGGTCAAATAGGGGCGACGACATGTCGCAGACTTTGAGATTGCGGACAAGGACTCTGAATACGAACCATCGATTGCGGCAACAGAGGAGTTAGCTCTACCTGCCGCCGAACCTGAGCGAGTTCAATGGCAGGGACCTCTACCACCCGTCCATCGACGACTACGACAGAAGACAATGGTCCGTGAGAATGAGGAGATGGACGAACCGATGGCCTGGACTTCAGGTGATATCGAACTTGGCGACCATCCTCATGAAGAACCTCTTCTACAGGAAGCCGTCCATGAGGACGATCGACATGTCATGTAGCAGAAAAGCGAGCCTATGATGAAGAGATCGAGGAGGAGCCGGTCAGCAAGAGGAGCCGACTCGAGTACCTGGAGATCTTCGAACTGAAGGTCAACAATCTTCTGAAGGCAAAGCAGAACAAGGAGATCCGGTTCCAGGAACTCAGCAAGTTCAACAAGGAATGTTTCTGTTTCAGCAAAGCGATGAAGAAGGAGATTGAGAATAACCTGACCATTGGAGCCTACGAACCACTGAGCTTGGAGGAGTCTGCACGAGTACGACAACAACATCCTCTCAAGGTCATGGAATCCAGATACGTCATGACCGCCAAACCCTTGGAACCTATGGATGTTGAACCAGCCCAACATGCTGGTTTACTTTTAGAAGGAGATACTGCAGAACCTCGAAAGGCCAAGGTGAGACATGTCATGAAGGGCTTCAGTGAAACGGGGTCTGAGTTTTTGGACTCTACCACGCCACAGGTTACACGTGATGCAGCAATTCTGGTACTACAGCTCATAGCCAGTTTTTGCTGGCGATTGGGCTTCCTGGATTTTACTCAGGCATTCCATTCAGGCGATGCCATCCAACGTCTTCTTTTTGCTGAACAACCACGAGAAGGAGTTCCAGGCTTGGTCCCAGGACAGCTGCTTAGGCTGCTGAAGACCTGTTATGGTCTCACTGATGATCCCTACGCATGGTTCAACCATATCAGGAGGGTCTTGATCGAAGACCTTGGATATACTCAGAGCAAAGCCGACCCTTGTGTCTTTTTCCTTTTCTCCGATGGCAATGGCGGCAGAAAGCTTCACGGTGTCATTGGACTTGCCACCGACGACATGATTCATGGAGGAGATCAGTACCACTATGCCAAGATGAATGAGATTCAGCAAAGATACAAGCTAGGCAAGTTTCAGTATGACCAAGGAAGATTCTGTGGAAAAGATATCAAGATGGACAAAGACGGCTCCATCCTGATCAACCAGGCCATCTTTGCCAAGGACAAGATCGCCGACATCACCATCAACCGAGAACGGAAGAAACATCGATACTCTTTTTGCGATGAGGAAGAGATTAGTCAGTTGAGGACCCTGTTGGGTTCTCTTTCCTGGCTTGCCAAGGAGACCAGACCTGACCTTGCAGGACCAGTTGCCTTATTACAACAAGCTATGCCGACAACCAGAGTGAAGGACTTGGTCGAAGGAAACCTTTTAGCACAAGAAGCCCGACGTCATGCAGAGTCTGGGATTCGAGTAATGCCGATCAAGCCAAAGAACTTGCGTGTGAGCATCATCACAGATGCTTCTTGGGGAAACGCTAAACAACAAAGATTCCTGGAGGAGTCAACTGAAGATGTCTGGGAGGAGCAGAAAACATGTTGGATTCGTCACCATCGAACACCAAGGAATACTCTGTTCCATCCGGCTGCTGCAGCGGGAGGCCCTGATCTTCATAGCCTACTACCAGAACGGAGGACCTATATGGAATCCGACGAGCCGTACCAGGACGACTGGACCAAGAACGACTCGATCAAAAATCCCAAGGATGTGATTTGGATTGGCTTCACCAAGTTTCTAAAACAACCAGAAGGAGCCTTCCTGAAGTACGAGAACATCAATGAAGTGTTTTTGCAGCTGCTGAATACCAGCAGTCAAGGCGGCATGATCACCATGTTCTATGACGCCGATCTTGAGACCAAGGAAGATCCCCAGATGATCACGATCGCCAACTGGAAATCCACTCGTTTGAAGCGAAAGACAGTAAACACGCTGTCTGCAGAATGCCAATCCATGGTGCTTGGAGTAGGATCCGTACACTGGCATCGCTTCCTGCTTTTGGAGGCACTAGGACATCAGTTGAATAGTTCCCAATGGGAAGCTCAGTTGGCAGCCATTCCTTACATAGCTGTCACCGATTCCCGCTCTCTCTATGACTGCATGAACAAGCTGGTATGTTCCTACACACAGACTGAGGACAAGCGGACGGCCATCGACATTGCCATCTTGAAGGACGACTTGAAGAAGTCCGGTGGCCATGCACGTTGGGTGGCTGGCAACAATATGGTTGCCGATGCACTGACCAAAAGAATGAAGGGAGATTTCCTTAGGGCTGTTTGTAATAAAGGAAAATGGACTCTTACTCACCATGGAAACCAGTTGCTCCGATCAGACTTCGAAATTTTGTTAGCATTTGCAGTAGCCTAATAAAGGCTTTCACATCCAACATAAAGTGTTGGCGGTGTACAGTTGGAAGCTTGGATGTGAACTTGCAAATGCCGTTTACTCAATGGCTCCAGGTGAAAGCCTTAGGATCTGTCATGACCTACGGGGGCTACTTGCACTCGGAAAAGGTGATCGTTGGTCTTGGTTGTCCCCTTGGGTTTTACAGAACCAGATGATTGGTTTGCCATGGCAGCTCAAGCCGCCGGTGGAAGCCTCGAAGAAGGTGGATGTCGGAGGGGGAATTGAGTTGGCTGTGGAGCACGTTGAGCCACCCAAGCCTGAGGAGGTTGTGGTCAAAGAGAAGAGGAGGAGAGGTTATGTCCCCAGGGGCATATACATCAGAAAGGATGGATGTTGAGCTGCAACAGTTCGGCTATACACCAGAATGTGACGGGCGCATAATAGCTGCAGAAAAGGGCTTGGGACACCGACAGCACTCCTCAGTGTGCAAAGAGAGGATAGCTGAGGAGCTTGGAAAGACAGAGGAAGGAAAGGTCAGGCTTGAACTGATCAAGAAACGTGAGGAGGAGTTCATTGTGAAGCACCATGAACGAGAGGAGGAAAGGAAGCGCAAAGCTGCGCTGGCACAGGCATCTCCCAAGGAGGCAACAAGGATGGATGAGCCAGCCATCTTTGGAGGACTTGATCGCTGAGGTGGAAGGAGCAAGCAGCTCATCTGCTGGTCACGTCCGCCCTGGCAGCCGGCCCAGGGGGCCCAGTTGAGCCGTCACCGGACAGTGGGCAACCACTGGACGGAGCCACTCCTGGGCCGGATGATAACATGGGAGATAGAGGAGATGGAGGTGTCGAGATGCCGCCTATGAACATTGGAGCTTTGGAGGTTCTTTGTCGGCGAGGTGGATTGAAGAAGGTTGATGAGGAGTTCTTGGGCAGCTTGCGAGAGGCAAGTTACCTTGAGGCCTTGGATTTGATGGCTGATGAGGAGGTGGCAAAGGTGAGGATGGAGTTGCAAAAGGGCATCATTGGTGTGTCTGCGGTGTACAGCTTGGCAAAATTTGACAAAGCCTGAGGTGTGGCAGAACTCTATTCGCCGACCCGGGTGACAGAATATGGAGAGCGGAATGGCCTTTTGTCAGGGGTTGCGTTTGATTTGACAACCTGTGACGAGGATGGTAGCCCTTGGGACTTTCGTCTTCCACAACAACGACAAAAAGCTGCAGCAAAGATCCAAGAGATGCGCCCTGAGCTTTTAGTTGGTTCGCCAATGTGTGGGCCGTTCAGCAACTTGCAGAACTTCAACAGAAAGACACCTGAGGCAGAAGCAGCATTGCGCGAAAAGGAGGAAGAGGGCGAGCAACATTTGGAATTTTGTGCTGAGCAATATGAGGCACAGATGGACAGAGGTGGCTATTTTCTCCATGAACATCCCAGTACAGCTCGTTCATGGAAGCGCCCTTGCATCGAGCGCACTGCGGCTCGTGATGACGTGTTTTTGGTGAAGGCAGATCTCTGCAGATATGGTTTGATGAGCAAAGATGAATGGGGTGAAGGACCTTCCAGAAAGACTACGTCCTTCTTGACCAACAGTGAGGAGATGGCCAACGAACTCAGCTTGAGGTGCACCAATGACAGTCAGGCGATAGGTGTCTGGAAGGAGTACAGACGGAATGTGAAGAGGGCAGGTGGTCGACGTACAGCAGGGCCACTTCATTTTCCAGTTGTTCGGCGTGTGATTTTGGATGTGAAAAACATGGTCGTCCTGCAAGACTTGAAGGACGCTCAGAACGCTCCCAAAGATTTGTGGAGGTTTGAGATTCCAAAGCGCTGCAAAGAAGTCCAAATGATTTTCTACTACGTGAAGAAGGGCCATACATATCACCGACATGTTCCACTCACAGATGGTCGTGCCAAGCAGGCACAGGTGTATCCTGAAGGGTTAGTTCGAAGCATTGTGCAAGGTTTGCTTCGACAGCTGAAAAAGCCTGTGGCCTACGCTTGTGGTGTTACAATGGGGCCGGTCAACCAGGAGAATGACATCGACTTCAAACTTTTCGATGAGACAGCAGATGCTGACTGGGACACCTTTGTAGATAGGGGAAAGCCTTTGAAAACAGCGTTGGTGGAGGCAGCCAGAGCAGAAGAGTTGGACTTCGCAAAGCGGTATGGTGTTTGGGATTTGGTTCCTACTCAGGAGTGTTGGGACAGAACTGGAGCAGCACCCATTGGATCGAGGTGGATCGACATCAACAAGGGCGATGAGAAGTCGCCGGCTTACAGATCACGATTGGTCATCCAGCAGGTCAGACACTCTGGTATTGAAGCCATTTTTGCGGCAACACCCCCACTGGAGAGCATCAGATTTTTACTGTCACTTCAGCGATCAGGCAACAAGGGATGGAAAGTCATGTTCATTGACATCAGGCGTGCCCATTGGACTGCAAAGATCCTTCGATTGGTGTACGTCCGGATACCCTCAGATGTTTGTGGCGCTGATTTTTGTGGCATGCTCAACAAAGCGATGTATGGGTGTCGCGATGCAGCTCAATGTTGGGAAGCAGAAATTACAGATTTCTTTACATCAGTGGGCTTTGCACCTGGGATTGGATCACCAGTTTTATTTGTCAATTTGGTTCGTGACCTTTGAGTTACAATCCATGGTGATGACATTACTGCATTGGGATCGGAAGCCGGCCTTCAGTGGCTGAAGACACAGCTGGAAACTCGGTACGAGCTGAAGTTCGGTGGTATGCTTGGTGGCGACAGTGGAGACGTCAGGGATGCTATGGTATTCAATGGTTTGATTCACTTTGACGTTGAGAACCAGGAGACCACCTATGAAGCAGATCCCAGACATGTGCAGATTTTGTTGAAAGAGCTGGGATTGACTGATGCAAAAACAGTCACCTGCCCAGGTGTGAACAAGAAAGAAGATGAAACAGCAGCTTTGGACCGAGCAATGTCCTCAAGGTATCGGTCTCTGGTGATGAGGGCTAACTATTTAGCTCTGGACAGGCCAGACATTTCTTTTTCTGAAAAAGAGCTTGCAAGGAGAATGAGTACACCGACGCAGGATGACTGGGCAAACTTGAAACGGTTGGTTCGCTATCTCAAAGGGCGACCGAGACTGGTTTGGGTTTACAAGCAACAAGATGAACCTGATGAGCCTCGCATGTTTTCTGATTCTGACAATGGTGTGGATGCTCGAGGAGTCGCAAGTCAACCTCGAGCGGTACATTGATGCATGGGTCGCATTTGCTGAAGGCGTACAGCAGTACGCAGCACGTGGTCTCATTGTCTTCAGGGGAATCAGAATTTTATGCTGGCGTTTGTGCAGGAGCAGCTTTGATCGGTGCAAGAAGCATGGCCGAAGATCTGGGTTGCAACAAATCAGGTACGCTTTCGATGCGACAGCGGCCAAAGCTATGTTGACAAGAAGAGGCTTTGGTAGAGCGAAACACATCCATCGCTCGTATCTGTGGCTCCAACAACGGATCAATGAAAAAGACTTGAATCTGAAGAAGGTGGGTACGAAGGTGAACCCATCAGACATTGGGACGAAACACCTTGATGGACGGAGGATAGTAGAACTGATCCGTGAGATGGGCCTGAGATTCGAGACTGCCGAGCACATAATGACGCTGCACGTATAGATGGTTCCTACTTGGTCGTAAGAACCAAGGAGGCCTGCATGACTTTGCAGCTCTGCCCAGCGTCAAAAGAGGGCTTTGCATTCCCCAGGTGTTTCGCCCGTGCATAGGATTTCGCAATGTGTGTATGTGTGTATGTGTTTAATTATGTGTGTATGTGTGTATGTATGTAATGTAATGTAATGTAATGTAATGTAATGTAATGTAATGTATGTATGTATGTATGGTAATGTATGGTAATGTATGGTAATGTATGGTAATGTATTGTATTGTATTGTATTGTGTTGTATTGTATTGTATTGTATGTATGTATGAATGTATGTATGTATGTATGTTTGTATGTATGTTTGTATGTATGTATGTATGTAATTGCATGTAATTGCATGTAATTGCATGCAATTGTATGTAATTGTATGTAATTGTATGTACTTGTATGTACTTGTATGTAATTGTATGTAATTGTATGTAATTGTATGTATGTATGTGTGTATGTATGTAATTGTATGTAATTGTATGTATGTATGTGTGTATGTATGTAATTGTATGTAATTGTATGTAATTGTATGTAATTGTATGTACTTGTATGTAATTGTATGTAATTGTATGTAATTGTATGTAATTGTATGTAATTGTATGTAATTGTATGTAATGGTATGTAATTGTATGTAATTGTATGTAGTTGTACGAAATTGTATGTACTTGTATGTAATTGTATGTAGTTGTATGTAATTGCATATAATTGTATGTACTTGTATGTACTTGTATGTACTTGTATGTAATTGCATATAATTGCATGTAATTGTATGTACTTGTATGTAATTGTATGTAATTGTATGTAATGGTATGTACTTGTATGTAATTGTATGTACTTGTATGTAACTGCATGTAATTGCATGTAATTGCATGTAATTGCATGTAATGTTGTATGTATGTAATGTATGTAATGTATGTAATGTATGTAATTGTATGTAATTGTATGTAATTGTATGTAATTGTATGTACTTGTATGTACTTGTATGTACTTGTATGTAATTGCATATAATTGCATGTAATTGTATGTAATTGTATGTAATTGTATGTAATTGTATGTAATTGTATGTAATTGTATGTAATTGTATGTACTTGTATGTACTTGTATGTACTTGTATGTAATTGCATATAATTGCATGTACTTGTATGTAATTGTATGTAATTGTATGTAATTGTATGTAATGGTATGTACTTGTATGTAATTGCATATAATTGCATGTAATTGTATGTAATTGCATGTAATTGCATGTAATTGCATGTAATGTATGTAATGTATGTAATGTATGTAAGGTATGTAAGGTATGTAGGGCATGTAAGGTATGCAATGTATGTAATGTATGTAATGTATGTAATGTATGTAATGTATGTAATGTATGTAATGTATGTAATGTATGCAATGTAGTGTAATGTAATGTAATGTAGTGATGTGATGTGATGTGATGTAATGCAATGTAATGAATGAATGTATGTATGTATGTATGTATGTAATTGTATGTAATTGTATGTAATTGTATGTACTTGTATGTAATTGTATGTAATTGTATGTAATTGTATGTACTTGTATGTAATTGTATGTAATTGTATGTACTTGTATGTAATCGTATGTAATTGTATGTAATTGTATGTAATTATATGTGTTTGTATGTAATTGTATGTAATTGTATGTATGTCCAGTATTTACAGTATATACAGTTTATATACAATTATATCTGTGTGTGTGAGTTATGATAGTTATAGGTGTGATAGTTATGGGTATGACGGGATATGTGCATGAGTGCATTCATCGATTCATTTGTATAATTTTACAGCTTGAACAGCACGGCGGTCGTCAGCCGCTGTCACTTTGCAGAGCTTTTTAGTCCTCAGGAGGTTGATGGTGGGAACGATGCAGATTGCAAAAACTTTGGTATCTTGGCCTATGATCAGTGGTGTTGACAACTCTGCGACACAGATTCAGAATGATTCAGAGGAACTACACAGCCAAGTCTTATCAGCTGTTTGTATTTTTTTTGTATTGTATCCCATTACGTATGACGTATATATATATATATATTTTTTTTTTTTGCAGGTGCATTCGATGATTCAGGTGGAAGTGGTGATAGCAGCTGGGAAACAAATCTATGCGCAAGTCAACAGAGAGGTGAACGCGCGGCGCATTAGTCAGAAAGATTACATCATCGATGAGGCGCAACCACGGAACCGACCCCCATCTGATCATGCGATCTCATGCGATCTCACACGCCTGGCAGTGAAAACATGTTTGGCGGAGTGGCCCTCCCTGAAGGCCTACCTTGCCCTGCGGGCTGTCACAACGAACCCTTCTTCACAAAATGGAAAGTCGCAACCCACCAAGAAGCTGTGGCCTCAATGCTATTTCAATTGTTTGTACTGCTTGATTTGCTTGTGGCTGGTTGCATTTGTTTCAACCATATTTGCTGGCATGGACAAAAGCGACGTTGTCCTAATTTGATATTCAGGCGTCGCAGTCATTCACGGGCACCTTCAAACAACTCGGGACAAAGGGGGAAAAAAGAAGAAACCGAGGAGAATTGGGATCCATTGGTGACCATTTTATCCGCAGAATATAAAATGACCTAGAAAAAAAATGAAAATGAAACGTCCCCCTGTCATATAGTGTGGTACATTTCACGTGACTGCAGCTTTTGCTTTGAACGCTAAGCATTTGTGGGCAAAGGGCATTTCCAGTAGCCATGATCTTGGCTATTAGTAATTCGTTGATTCATGTTGATTCATGTTGGTTCGCAATATACGCCGGAAAGTGCAGGATGCAAGAAGTCATGGGAATCAGTTGGACCTGAGTGAGGTTTGCACAGAGCCTTGCCGTGACAGTGCAGAGTCTGAGATGTTTGTGATGTTTGAGAGGTAGGCGGGTAGGCGAGTAGGCTGCAGTGAGAAGACAACAGTTACAGTACTATCAGTTACTTGTTAATGTACCATGGTGTACCTAAGGAATGTGTTTTCGAAGCCCTTAGCTGGGATGTGGACTGGACAGCCCCTGCCAGTTCAAACTATGGCATCAATGCAGCTTGGCAACATGGCAAGTAGCAAAAATAATGCTGCTACATGCTGCTACAATCTACAATTTGAGACTTCTACCAAGGCAGGGGCCATGAAGCAGCAAATCGAGGAGGCTGGACCTGGATGCGAGTGACCGTGGATGCCAGTAGCCAGTCCAGCCTCCACAATTGTTTGGGTTTCCCCTATTCCTTGATCTTATTCTCCATGTCCAATGATAGTCCAATGTTCTCTTTCGTTTCATCGCAAAAACTGAACCCATGAGAACCTGCGCCAGATAGCAAGAAACGATCGCTGAAACGCTCATTTTCTTGTGCTCTTGGTGCGAACCAGTTGGCGAAAGTCTTGACTTCTTCGCAAGCTGGTGCTGTCATAGAGATGTGGGACTGCCTGACCATCTTGTCACTTGAACGGAAGTCTTGGAGTCGTGGGATACATTAATATCATCAATTCTCAGGGAAGTGCACTTTTCTGTCATTTTCTGTTATCCTATTTGTGTTATATATTTTGTTTCTAAAGGTCTTTTTCATTCATGTTCCATCCCGTCTAGCTGCAGGGCTGTGAGTGTCATGCACCGTTGGATTTCCGCTTGTCTTTGAGGCGTGTTCTTCCTTGTGTAATTTTATGGCGCTCGAAGATAGTTTCGAAATCTAACGCGCATCCAGGGATTGCCACCTAAGGCCAACACGGCCACTCGATCCAGGCATGGGAATTCGGTGGGGCGTTTGTATCACCTGGCAGTTTCCGAGATCAACTCTGGAGGTGCTTGGCGATCAATGCGACGGGCAACCTGCTGTGACGATACTTGGTGGCATTTTATGACATTTTGAACTCGGAGGCTGTTTGATGCTGTTTGCCATGTTGCGCCTAACAAGTTGTGACAGAATCAGAAAGCTATGAGCTCTTTGTCATCAGGCAGACTCCAATGAAATCAGCTCTGTCTTTGGAAAAGATGTCTTTCTGAAGCCAATGAGCGTCTTGGACGAACAGATGTCAGCAGCATAACCAACCACGTATCGTTGCAAAAAATATGCTTCGCGTACATGTGCCGGCAATACGAATACAATACAAGGCAAGACAATACAGTTACAGATGATACAGTAGAGTACATTATAAGGGCTGCCGCCCCTGCTGCCGACCCGGGTTCCAGTCGAAATGATATCGTTGGATGCGGTTTGCGTGCATTTTGCACGGGTGTGGAAACTCTCGTAAACGGGAAAAGGTAGACATGTTGCATGTTTGTTTGTGTATTTTTCTTGGTCTTGTCATTGTTTTCTCTAGATTTTCTTGCTTTTTGAGAGCCCTTTGAAAATGACGTTTTTTGATCGATTTGCACGCCTTTGACACCGCTTTCGAAATGCTCGCAAACAGGAAACCGGGGTTAACGGTCAACGCCACTTCTGAAACCGCAGAAGAAAAGACATGTTGCATGTTGTTTTCCATCTTTTCCTTGGTTTTTGATAGTTCCAGTTGAAACGGCATCTTTCGATGCGATTTGCATGCAGTTTGCACGGCTTTGGAAACGCTGGCTGATAAACAGGATAAGGGAGTTGACGCCACCTCTGAAACCCCGCAAAGGATACATGTTTGCAGGTATTTTGTTTTTTGTTGTGGGTTCTTTCTTTTTTTTTTCGGGGTCGTTTTTTGATGTTTTTTGGCTGTTTTTTGGGTTGTGGTGGTGGTGGTGGTTGGTTGGTTGGTTACATTTATGAATCCTAGTCTCTGTGTGCGCTCCCCCTTCTTTGGCCGTGGGGTCGGCTCATACCCATTGCATTGCAATTGTGCATGTGCATTTCATATTGTTACGTTTTGTGGGTTTGGGTTGCCATTGTCAGCCTAAAGAGGTGCGTCAACTGCTTGCGCAGGTTTGCCCCTTGCCTTTGAGCTGGCAATGCTCTCTGTGCTGGCTCTGGTTCGCACGGCGCCATTGCTGCTCGTCCAAGGCATCCCAAGGCCATCATTTGGCAGCACCCTTCACCCGGCAATTATTCTAAGGAACATAGAGGCACAGCCTAGCCGGGAAGAGACATTGACGCGGATTGAATCTGGATTGCACGAGCCGATGCGGCAGTCCTGACTCAGCTTGTTTGACAGTGTGACAGTGCTTGCATGCTCGGTGCGACGAAGGAGTCTTTGAAAGTCTTGAGATAGTTCCAATGGCTTTGGGCCCTTTGGGCCCTGGCAGTTTGCACAACTTGAGGATATTTGCGTGCTGCGCAATGGTCTGGAAGCAGTGGAGATGGAGGTCAGGGGCGACATTGCGAAGACACAGCGTGAGGCCGGGATCTCACACATCGGATCATTGATTCAACATCAGAGCCATGCCATGCAGCGACCGTGAGGTGCTGAAGAAACGGGATCCCTCCCGGGCGTTCCTTGGACCCATTGAGACATCAGATTTGCAAAAATCTTAAACAGGAAGTCGAAGGCATGGCTAGTTGAAGTCGCACCGATTCTAGATGATTCTAGATATATGTTGCAATCAGGTGGGGGGAAGCTGCAGGGAAAGTCGCTCCAACTTGCGTTCACGTGCGCGGGAGCAGTCATAGAATTACTTTTGCTGAAATGTCAATGTCCAAAAGAAAGCAAGAAAGAGTACAGTGAAAGAAAGGGGAAGAAAAGGAAAGACAAGGAAAGAAAAGGAGAGTAAAGGAAAGACAAGGAAAGAAAAGGAAAGAAAAGGAAAGAAAAGGAAAGAAAAGGAAAGAAAAGGAAAGAAAGTGAGCGAGGGATGGAGCAAGTGAGCACAGTGGTTTTCGTTCGCACCTCGTTCGGACCTCGTTAAATTCGCCGGGCATGTGCAGCCAAAGAAAGGTTCAAGCATGCCCCAAACCTGTGTTTTGAATTGTTTTGATATTCCCACGCAACATGTTTTTGTGACGGTTTGGCACCGGAAACCCAGCTGAAATGCGCCTCCAAACCAATACTTTCACGATCCAGCTAAAACTTGCCTTTTACATTGGGGTTATCATCAAAATTTGGAAGCAAAACCGATTAAAAATGCAAAATGTGTAGGTATGGTGCAACTTGCGTTCACATGGTGATTTTACAAGTTTTGCGCTGTCTCAATATGTCTCAATCATTTATCAACAAATCCTCAGAGTTTCATTGGGTAAAATTGCTGGTGTGACTTTTTCGGCATGTTGGTGCGCAGAGCGTGCGGGAAAGCATTCTCTTAAGCAAGTTGGTGTGACTTCCGCGGTTACACCAGAAATGTCCATAAATCAGATAAATCAGAAAAATCAGCTGCGAGATGCTGCGAGCCATCCGTATGTCGAATGTGCACTTGCCCAGGCCTGGCAAGAAGGTCATCCACATGGGTGGGCGATTTGCACGGGTTGAGCCAGCCTTGGGCTTAGCAGCTTAGCATTTCCTGCTATTTCTATCATGTTCTATCTACTTCTTGGGGCTTGTGGCATTGGTGCCATGGCTGCATGCTACAGCTCCGGCACTTGTAAGTCGGTATGTGAAATTAGCTCCTTTCTGAGGTGAGCATTGGCCGCATCTTGGCAACCCAGCGAGATTTGTCGTCAGACGATCTATGTGCCATCCTTGATGTGCAGGACAAGGGGGGGAGGAAAAGTGGCATGGGGTTTCCTGCACCGTCGTGCACAGACTTGTTTTGGAGGATAGCACTTGCCAGATCTCTGCCAAGATGGATGAAGATGCTTCGTGATTGAATCAGAGATTGATGGCGGTTTCAGTTTACCCCAGTTCATGCTTCAGAATCATAATGTCACTGAGGAAGACAGCGATGAAGATGGCAAAAAGAGGGTCGACAAGAAAGTGACGCGACGGAAGGAGACCAGCCAAGCCTTGGGCAATGCTCAAGACTCAAGACATGACACAGCATGAACGCATGAAAACGATTAAAACCGTCCATGCCTTGGCGCCGGGTGCTGGCAGGACAATATGCACATACTCTCCCATCAGTCCAGTTGCTTGCTGAGCAATTCTGAACATGGGGAGCAACTATGGATCAATGAAGTTGCTTTCTAACGCCTTCTGTATCGTTGTGTAATGTCACAATTAAGATGAGCCAATGAGGAAATTGTGTCACTTTGCATCACTTTCTTCACTGCAAGTGAAATAAGTGAAACAGGTTCTAAATGGAATCAGAAGCCGAGCGAAGCCGAGCGAAGCGGAGTTCATTTTTTGTCAGGCTTTGGTGTGATGAGCTCCGAGCGCTTCCAGCTGAATCTGTTGCGGCACCTTTTGGATTTCAATTCCTTACAGGCCGTGGCACCCAGATGGCATGTTATGCGATGGCAGACTGCTGGCGTGTGTTGTTAGGGTTTAGAAGTTTCTATCATATTCTGACACTTGAAGTGTAGATTGCTTAGATGTTTCTTCTTCATCTTCTTCCAACTTTGCGCTCCAAGCGTAGCCTGCAAAGATTCCGCCATTCGACAGGTGGATGCCATTGAGGACGATGAGCGTCGTCGAAGAGAAGGTGTCACTGATGCCTTGGAGGCCGGCGAATCGCACGGATGGTCAGACGCGCTCCACCCAATTTCTTGAACGAACCCATAATGAACATAATGAAGATATATGAAGATTAATGAAATCTTGAAGATCATGAGGAAGTCTTGTTTCGGAGCGCCGCTTTTCAGGTTCGGGCTTGCAACTTGACATTGGCCCAACTGCACACTACTGAATCGGGTTGAGCTTGCTCTTTTGCCAAAGGTTATGCCCGATCACCCATGAGCCACCCACCTATATCTTTTCCATTCTTTTCCTCGTGTCGTCGGAAATCAAAAGTTCATCGGAGACTAGTGTTGCACTATGGCGCTCAAATGCGCTGAGAGGATAAATTTGTAACATCATTTTAACGATTTTGGCGGGTAGCCACAGGAGGACCCCTTCGACGATGACTTGGTTTTCCGAGAGGTCCTTAGCTCCGGGGAGGCACTGTGACATGGAAAGTGACAACTGTAGCGTGAGAATGATTGCAGGATATTGCACTCATGCCACCAGATTTGCAAATTGCCGGCACTACATTGAACGCATTGAATCACCAGATCGCATAGCAGCAGGTTGTATGGCACGATGACAAGCTTATTGAGGAGATGGAAGACTTGGAACTCCAGGCCACAGTCGCAACAGTCGTTGTCATAGTATCTACTCCTGCTTTCACAATCAAGAATCAGCAACAATCAACAGTTTCAGAGGTAGCGCGGCCAAACCAACCTCCTCTTTGAATGGCACTTTGTGCGTCAGTCATTTCAGAGCGCAGCATCCTCAATGCTGTCCGAGCTTTGTTGGGGTGGTAATGCCTCAATTGTGCAGGGCAATGGCTCAGATGACAGCGATTTGGAGGACTCGGAGGACGAAGAGGGGGCTGATTCAGAGGAAACTTGGTGAAATTTGGATGACAATTCTGCATTTGCACATGGAATCGTTGGCAGGTGCTACAGAATAACAAGCCGGTGCACGGACTGCTCATCAATGCTCACTGGATCATGCAGGGCCATCTTTGGATCCCTGGCCGATGATCCAAAATGTGAGGCCCACAATGATTCTCCACCTGCTTCGCCCACCCAAAACACGAGACGAAATGCGAAGCGCCCCTCAGATGCAAGTTGATGTTGAAGACAAGCATTGAGCAGTTGCTGACTGCAAATTGCAATGGCAAGGGGTGAAAACTCGATAGGATGCACGCGGGCTGTACGGTTTGTGCAATTTGTCCTTGGTCCATTCTTTGGATTGAAATCGCAGTTGGGGCTTCCTGAGGGGTGTAAGAGGTGAGCTAAATTAGTGATAGAAGAAGCTGAAACAGTAAATGCTTGTGGTAGACACCATGTTCACGAAAAGATCAAGCCGAGGTGAAGCCTTTGAGGTTCCTCCGCGGAATTCAGTTGACTGTTACACCCTGATTGTGCAACGCGCTTGGACCACAAAGTTGTTGTAGTTCTCATCCTCTGCAAGATCTGGTTTCAAAAGTTGAGCCTGATTTGTTGGAGAATGTCGGGCTATCAGAGGGATGACAATCATCATTGACCAAAGCACTTCACTTCCAATCGCTTCAGGAGAAAAAGGCAACGTCAATATGGGCAAAGACGCTGCAGTGGGTTCAGTCAAAGCAAGTATGGTTTGGAGGGTGACTTGGCTGGGTGATAGGGGGGCTAGGACTATCTAAGACTCATGTAGGCCATTGCAGAGTTCGGAGAATCCAGTTCCAACCTGTTTGAGATGCTTAAGCCAGGCACAGTTTTCTCAGTTGTGGCTTTCTGATTTTCATGGCATGTGTGCATTGGCATGAAACAGTGGATCGAAGGGACCAAGGCAAGGTATGCTGTGGAGGGACGACCGCTCGCTTGCACACCCCGATTTTCACTCGCTTGTACACCCACTTTTTCCCTCGCTTGTACACCCATGAAAATCATGATCATGATCATGGGGATCATCATCATCATCATCATCATCATCACCATCCTCATCCTCTTCAATAATTGAAGAAGGTTCACCTCTGCCATCCGTCGCGTGATTCTTTTTGTACGGGCATCTGTTGCGTGTTGCGCACGTGTCCATCACGTCGGTGTCTGCACGAGAGCAGAAGAACGTTCTTGTCCCACCCCACCCCACCCCACCCCACCCCACCCCACCGGTAACTGATCATGAAAGAGCAGTGCCTGTGTCTGCACGAGAGCAGGAAAGATGATGAGGTTGCGGTGCCTGTGTGTGCACAGGAACATGAGCGTTATTGTCCCACCCCGCCCCACCGCACCCCACACCGAACAATGATGAAAGTGCAGTGATGATTTCCAGAATGAGAGATGATGAGGGTGCGCAAGTGAGTGACATTTTGCTCACTGGGTGCGCAAGTGAGTGAGGGCGCGCCAGTGAGTGAAATTTCGGGTGCGCAAGTGAGGGTCTGGCCCTGTGGAGCACGTGCAGGATCCACGCTCGGAGCAATAAAGGAGGCCCGCCTTAGGCCCATATGTGTTATATAATATATGTATATAATTATAATTATATATTTACTGTAATTAGATGTAGTTAGATATAATTAATTATATTTAATTATAATTAGATAAAATTAGATATAATCAGCTGATACATCAGATTTGCCATCCCTGCAAATGGCATAAAGCAGGCATCCCCAGGCATATTCATGCACTAAGGAAGGCACATGATCAAGAAGCAAAGCTGCGGCAGAAGGTGGCGCGGAAGTTCCGAGAGCTGGATGAGGACAGATATGGACAGAGCTAGTGCAGGGCTTCGGATCGCTTGGAGAAAAAATCCAGCTGGTTTCAGGCGGGTTCCACCTGTGTCAGGACGGAGAAGGGCTCGCTTTGGCAGACGTCGCTTGGCCATATTTTGTTAAATAATGCGGAGGTCAAACAATGGCCTTGGGTCCCTGGATTTTTTTTCAGCCCTATCATACCCTATGTGTTCCCAAATGAATTGTCTGATTGAAAACAAATACATAAGTGGACTTCCCTTTTTCATTGTTGTATTTCCAAATGCATTGCCTAATTGAAAACGAATACATAAGTGGACTTTCTTTCCATTTTAGTATTCCCAAATGCATTGCCTAATTGAAAACGAATGCATAAGTGGACTTTCTTTCCATTTTAGTATTCCCAAATGCATTGCCTAATTGAAAACGAATGCATAAGTGGACTTTCTTTCCATTTTAGTATTCCCAAATGCATTGCCTAATTGAAAACGAATGCATAAGTGGACTTTCTTTCCATTTTAGTATTCCCAAATGCATTGCCTAATTGAAAACGAATGCATAAGTGGACTTTCTTTCCATTTTAGTATTCCCAAATGCATTGCCTAATTGAAAACGAATGCATAAGTGGACTTTCTTTCCATTTTAGTATTCCCAAATGCATTGCCTAATTGAAAACGAATGCATAAGTGGACTTTCTTTCCATTTTAGTATTCCCAAATGCATTGCCTAATTGAAAACGAATGCATAAGTGGACTTTCTTTCCATTTTAGTATTCCCAAATGCATTGCCTAATTGAAAACGAATGCATAAGTGGACTTTCTTTCCATTTTAGTATTCCCAAATGCATTGCCTAATTGAAAACGAATGCATAAGTGGACTTTCTTTTTCATTGTTGTATTTCCAAATGCATTGACTAATTGAAAACGAATGCATAAGTGGACTTTCTTTCCATTTTAGCATTCCCAAATGCATTGCCTAATTGAAAACGAATACACAGGTGGACTTTCTTTCCAGTTTAGAATTCCAAAATGAATTGCCTAATTGAAAGCGAATACATAAGTAAACTTTCTTTCCATTTAGTATTCCCAAATGAATTGCATTAGTTGAAAACGAATACATAAGTGGACTTTCCTTCTTCATTGTTTGTATTTCCAAATGCATTGCCTAATTGAAAACGAATACATACGTTACATAAGTGGACTTTCCTTTTTCATTGTTGTATTTCCAAATGCATTGACTAATTGAAAACGAATGCATAAGTGGACTTTCTTTCCATTTTAGCATTCCCAAATGCATTGCCTAATTGAAAACGAATACACAGGTGGACTTTCTTTCCAGTTTAGAATTCCAAAATGAATTGCCTAATTGAAAGCGAATACATAAGTAAAGTTTCTTTCCATTTTAGTATTCCCAAATGAATTGCATTAGTTGAAAACGAATACATAAGTGGACTTTCCTTTTTCATTGTTTGTATTTCCAAATGCATTGCCTAATTGAAAACGAATACATAAGTTACATAAGTGGACTTTCCTTTTTCATTGTTGTATTTCCAAATGCATTGACTAATTGAAAACGAATGCATAAGTGGACTTTCTTTCCATTTTAGTACCCAACGCTGCCCCCAGGCAACTGGTCACGAAACCCTTTTTCGTTTTGCTTTTTAAAGGGTTTGGAGTGGGGGGGAGGATGTTAACGTCCCTGTGAGCTTGCTCACGTCATGTATGCTTCGTGAGCTTCGGGTTTGGGTGGGGTGGGGGGGGATGTTAACGTCCCTGTGAACTTGCTCACGTCATGTATGCTTCGTGAACTTCGGGGTTTGGGTGGGGTGGGGGGGATGTTAACGTCCCTGTGAACTTGCTCACGTCATGTATGGTTCGTGAACTTCGGGGTTTGGGTGGGGTGGCGGGGGATGTTAACAACCTGTGAACTTGCTCACGTCATGTATGCTTCGTGAACTTCGGGGTTTGGGTGGAGTGGGGGGGATGTGAAGGTCCCTGTGAACTTGCTCACGTCATGTATGCTTCGTGAACTTTGGCTTTGCTTGGGTGGGGGATGTTAACGTCCTGTGAACTTGCTCGCGTCACCTATGCTTCCCTGAACTTCGGGGTTTGAGTGGGGGGGAGGATGTTAACTGTCCCTGTGAACTTGCTCACGTTCATGTATGCTTCGTGAGCTTCGGGTTGGGTTGGGTGGGGGGATTGTTAAAGTCCCTGTGAACTTGCTCACGTCATGTATGCTTTGTGAAACTTCGGGGTTTGGGTGGGGGTGGGGAGGCATGTTAACGTCCCTGTGAACTTGCTCACGTCATGTATGCTTCACACACACACATATATATATAGATATATTTATATTTAGATATGTTCACAATATTACACCATGAAAGTCACATTTAGATATGTATATATATATATACATATATATATATATGTATATAAGCATGTGCATACACATACATTATACATACATTTATTTTCATTATTGTATACATACAAATGTACGCATCTTCTTGTTTATTTTTTTGTTTTTTTTGGCACTAAATATATTTCTCACTTACGTACACGCACACACGCACACACGCACACACACACACATATATATATCACATGTATGCATGTATATAATGTGTAAAAATATGTACGTATATACTTACGATTAGACAACTTAAATTAACTTGTCGGGGAATGTTCCATTGCACTTTCTCAAACAATCGGCCAAAGCTTGCAACGCTCGCTGATAATGGCGCAAGAACAAAAGAACACAATGCGCAAAGAACAAAAGGCTTCAAAAAAACACCAGTTGCCCAAGGGCGGAGCGACCTTTTTAGCATTCCTACATGAATTGGCCAATTGAAAACGAATACATAAGTGGACTTCTCTCTTCCTTTTAGTTTTCCTAAATGAATTGCCTAATTGAAAACAAATACATAAGTGGACTTTCTTTCCATTTCAGTATTCCCACGTGAATTGCCTAATATACATACGTGGACTTTTCTTTGCACTTTAGTATTCCCAAATGAATTGCCTAATTGAAAACGAACATATAAGTGGACTTTCCTTTTTTTTCATTTTAGTATTCCCAAATGAACTGCTTAATTAAAAAGGAATATATAAGTGGATTTTCCCTTTTCATTGTAGCATTCCCAAATGAATTGCCTGATTGAAAACGAGTACAATAAATGGACTATAGTTTCATTGTAGTATTTTTGAACCTTAGAGACATTGAGAAAGTGTCAATGCATTCCTGAAAGTGAATTGAGTTTTCCGATACATGCTTCCAAACGCTGGCTAAAATAAGGTACGTTCTTTTGTAACAAAAGCTGTGTTTTGATTAGTTCCAAGCCGCGCTGATGCCAAATGCATTTCTTTCAATGGCATGTCGGGGTTGACGCGCCAGTCGGGGTTGACGCGCCATGTTGCGAAGGCAAGATGTTTTTTGTCCCAAAAGCTGTGTTTTCAATAGTCCCAAGCCGCACTAATGTCAAACGCACTAGTTTCAAGGGCTTTTTGGAGTTGGCATCATGTTGGGAAGGTAAGATTGTTTTGTTTTCCCAGAAGCTGCGTTTCCATTAACTCAAAGCCACACGAAAGCCACACGGTTGCCAGTCACACTCGTTTCAAGGGTTTTTGGAAGTGGGCGCAATCATGTGGTGGAGGATGCGTCTTTTCGTTGCAAAGGCGTTTTATTGTCACGGGCCGGGCAGCCAAGCAGCGGTAACTCTAGGGAGCATGTTCATTGTCAAAATAGCACCTCTGGGTGGGTTCGGTGGGGTGGGGTGGGGTGTGGTTGGCTGCGGTGGGGCGGGGTGGGTTGGGGTTGGGTGCGAAGGTTTCCCCGGCGTTTCCCCGGTGTTTCTCGGCTCTCCAGGCCCAAGCGGCTGTTCATTCTGGCCGTCTTTCGACCTACCAGACATGCCCCTTATAGCTCAATTGGTAGCACGGTGGCTTCAGGAGCAGAAGTGACAGGCTCAATTCCCACAGGGCGCTGCCTTGCCACCTGTGGCATGGCAAGGAGCGCTGCTGCCGGATGAGTGTACTGCGCCATTGCCTTGTCAGGTGTGGTTTGCGTTGCCACAAGCAATGGAGGCTCAAGGGCCTAGGTATTTTATTTGACCACCTGCCACCTGCCTTTGCTCGTTCCAACAGCTGTGCTTTCACTAGTTCCAAGCCGCACTAATGCCAAACACGCTAGCTTCAAGGGTTCTTTGGAATTGACGCATCATGTTGCAAAAAAAAATATTGGTCCCAATCCAAGCCACGCTGAAGCCAAATGCATTAGTTTCAAATGATTTTCGGGGTGTGACGCATCATGTTACGAAGGCAAGATATTTCTTGCCCCGAAAGCTGCATTTTCATTAGTTCCAAGCAACGCTCATGTCAAACACACTTGTTTCAAAGGCATTTTGGGGTTGACGCATCATGTTGCGAAGGTAAGATTTTTTTGTCCCAACACCGTTGTTCTCACTAGTTCCAAGCCACATTCTTGCCAAACGCATGACTTTCAAACGCTTTTTGGAGTTGAAGCGTCATGTTGCGAAGGTAATTGTTTTTGTCCCAAAAGCTGTGCTTTCATTAGTTCCAAGCCACACTAATGTCAATCACACTAGTTTCAAGGGCTTTTCGGAGTTGACATCATGTTGCAAAGGTAAGGTTTTTCTTGGTTTTAAAAGCTGTGTTTTCATTCATTAGCTCCAAGCCATCCTATTGCCAAACACAGTAGTGCTCAAGGCATTTTGGGATTGACGCATCACGCTCCGAAGGTAAGTTTTTTTCCCCACATTGACGTGTGGGGTTTTTGTTTTTAGCTCTGTATCCGCGCCTCTTCTTCTTCCTCCTCCTCCTCCCGTCCTCCTCCCACTCACTCACTCACTCACTCACTCACTCACTCACTCACTCACTCACTCACTCACTCACTCACTCACTCACTCACTCACTCACTCACACGCTCACTCACTCACTCACTCACTCACTCACTCACTCACTCACTCACTCACTCACTCACTCACTCACTCACTCACTCACTCACTCACTCACTCCTCACTCACTCACTCACTCACTCACTCACTCACTCACTCACTCACTCACTCACACGCTCACTCACTCACTCACTCACTCACTCACTCGCTCGCTCGCTCGCTCACTCACTCACTCACTCACTCACTCACACGCTCCCTCACTCACTCACTCCCTCCCTCACTCACTCACTCACTTACTCACTCACTCACTCACTCCCTCCCTCCAAGGGGTCGGATGTACGCCCTGGCGTCCCTCCGGTGTCCCTTGGTCTCCGCCGCTTTTGCGTGGCAGGCGTGGGACAACTGCCAAGGGGTCGGATGTACGCCCTGGCGTCCCTCCGGTGTCCCTTGGTCTCCGCCGCTTTTGCGTGGCAGGCATGGGACAATGTGCACTGCCAAGGGGTCGGATGTACGCCCTGGCGTCCCTCCGGTGTCCCTTGGTCTCCGCCGCTTTTGCGTGGCAGGCATGGGACAATGTGCACTGCCAAGGGGTCGGATGTACGCCCTAGCGTCCCTCCGGTGTCCTTGGTCTCTGCCGCTTTTGCGTGGCAGGCATGGGACAATGTGCACTGCCAAGGGGTCGGATGTACGCCCTAGCGTCCCTCCGGTGTCCTTGGTCTCTGCCGCTTTTGCGTGGCAGGCGTGGGACCATGTGCACTGCCAATACTTTATTTGGGGGCCATTTTATATTAATGAATTCAATTACAGTAACTAGGTGGGAAAAACGGAAAGCAACGATAACAATCACGAAAAAAAAACGGAAAAAAAACAAAAGAAACAAAAAAGGTGGAAAAACATAGAAACAATAGCAGAAAAAAAACGAAACAAAATCACCAAAATCGGTCGGCGATCTTTATTATGGTGGGGTTTTACTACTTTGATCCGGGGGTTGGCGATCTTTATTTTGACGGATTTTTTATATATTATATTGGAACATTACCGTAAATTCGTAGATGGACGGCAAAAGCAAACCTTCTGTCCGATCATGTCCAGCATTGAAATGTGGGGCGGCGTTGTTCTTAGTTGGTCTCTTCATGTCTCTTCAAGGTTTGATTTTTTGTTCATTTGCTGTAAGGGAACTTGAGGACTGCTAGGCTGTGCAAATGCCAGATTTCTTCGCATTCAGGTGGCGACTCTACTGACGGACGTTTTTGGACACCAAATGGATAGAGATGCAATGCTGCGCCTGGCTGCAAACGTTTATGACGTGCTGGAGAAGAGTGAGCAGGACCGGATATGACCGGATTCACAAGGGTCCTGGATGTCCTGGGTTGGAGAAGAAGGCAAGATACTGTAGAAGTCTGTTGTAGCTAGCTGTTTTACGGCCCATTCTGCAGCGCTATGAGACATTGGAATCCCTTGCCCATGCAGAAAAAATTTATCTCACTCATGGCAGGACAGGGGCAGGACGGAATTTATGTTTCACCCGGAATTTGTAAGATGTCACGTGGTCAGGAGCTGCTACAACTGTCGGACCTGCAGGACGTCTTAGAGACAGCAACTTGGCAAATATGTAGACTTGAATGGAATGCTAATTTGCTTGCGTGGCTCATGCTCTTTACTTTATAACTCTTTGCAGAAACATCTCTTGAAATCTTTGCTGCATACTCTGCGGGTTTGGCGGGTGGCATTGGACAATTCCCATAAACTGCGACTTTATGAAAGGGAGCATGTCTGGAAATTATGTGAAATGAACATGAAATGAAATGAAATTCAGCTGTTTTGCGTTTTGTTTAATGAGGCCACGCAGGATTATGAAGCTATGGTCAAGCGACAGCGGCAGCATAGCTCTCAGAAACAGGGCGCCAACAGCAACAGTGGCTGGGTGTGGGTGCAACGACTCGCAGGCAGGATGCAAAGAGGGTTGCTTGCACAGGTTCTCACAACAAGATCAATGACGCCATGCTTGCAAGGGACCTGCACAAACGAACGGCTCCATGATGGCTCCATGGGCCAGTTCAGAGATGTAGCCATCATGGCCGAGAATATGAAATCCCTGCGCAGGCTATGTGATGCCACCGGATTCGATGTTCCTGCAGTGCTGGGTGTCTGGGCAGTCTGGGCATACACAGTACAACTGAAGACTTCCGTGGGCATACACAGTACACAGCAAGCACCAGTATTTTGATTTTCAGTTGGCAGCTGGTAGTCAATAGCAGTGAAAGTCAGCAAATCAGTGCCGAGGACTTTGTAAAGACTGCAGTTGTCATGTACTACCTCTTGGAGGCAGAGAATCCAGCTGTGAATAGATCTGTCAGGCTGTTCAACATCCTCGTACCACCATACCTCAAAGTCAGCCCCAACAGAGGTGCCGATGAGATTTTGCATCATCAATTTCGACTTCCTGGAAGACTCCAGCACTCTGGCTCTGATCATCGTCAACCTAGGAGCTCACCGCGTACAGAATGCCAGAATATACATATAATATCATATAATATCATATAATCACATATATATATACATATCCGTGTGTGTGTGCGCGTGCCATGTGCATGCCATAATGAGACAATTATTAGACAGGTTGAAACAGTACTGTATAGTATTGCAGGATATTGCAGAGAAAGGGTAGGCTGTTGGAAAGAGGCGTTTCAAGCACTTTCTGCTCGTTGCAGGAGCTGACTTTTTCATGTTGGCCAATTTGCCGCTGAACTTCCTTAGAGGCAGCTTGCCTCCCTGAATTTTCTGGTGTGTGCGTATAGCCTGGGGTTTTGCACCTCTGCTTTCTGGTCTTGACATGGGTTTGAAGGTGGCGCTTTTTTTGAATTCAATGTGACTGTTTTCCAACGTCCTATCATCATCTTATTCGTTTCTATTCCAGTCTTGTTGAGATGAGGTTTCGAAGACAGCAGTGGCCTCGTGATACGTGACTTCGAGCAGATCCGACGGCGCTACTTGTTGGGCCCCTTCAGCCGGGAACCCGGGACTTTGGCCAATGGATGGGATGAAGCAACAAACAGCACGCGAAAGAGCGAAGTCTTTGGAAAGGAGTTTGCCTGAACATCCCAAATAATCATCCCAACATTTCCAAACATGTCCAAACATCCTAAATTGAGGAATATTTTCAATATATATAAGGTCCCCAATTGCCGAAACAACCTAAAGATTTCCAAAGCGCATCCCTGTTCCAAGTCACGTCGTCTCAGGCTGGGACCTCATTGCTGCCTTGCCCTTCGACATTTTCGCAGACCCCATGCTGAACGCGGAGCCCCTTTTTGGCAACATTGCCATAGAAGGGCCATATAGACCATAATTGATATATATATATATATATATATATCACCATGTATATATGATGTGTTGGACATATACTGCCAATATATATATATATATATTATATATATTATATATATATATAATGACATGTTGAATATGTTGTGGGGTTTGCACCCTGTTCCAGAGCAGGATACGCGCCACTGGTGTGCTGACATGGAATGAGGCGAATCTATGCCACTTGGCGGTTGCTGAAGCTCATCCATTTGCGGCATTTGTGGGGACGTAGGGTGGAAGCTTGGCATCAGTTTCGAGCGATGAATGAAGCTTGCACCCAAGCACTGCATCCAAGCAGTTTGCTTTTCGCAAACCACCACACTTGCAAACCATAGCCTGTGGGCTATATCCATCGACATCAGAGAGAGGAAGAGAGAGGGAGAGAGAGAGAGAGAGCTAGAGCTAGTGAGATTCAGATACTTTTTTCGGGGTTCCTATGGGTTCCTGCTCATCTCAGGAAAGCAAGTCCTCGGACCAACATGAGCATGGCTTTGTGCCGGCAGCCCCAAGCAGTTGTGCTGGCGGAGTTTGTGAGACTTGAGACCTCGAAATTGGTTTGGGGGCGTGGGCTTTGATTAAGGTTGGGTAAAGGAATGGCGTGCAGATTCCCAGCTCGCAGAACGCTTTTGTTGCACTGAGGTTGACCACCGTGATTGTTTTGTTGAACTTCTGTGTGCTGGGTCATTTTATGGGTTGCTTCTACTGGTACATCGGCAACGGCTGGCCCTCTCTGTGACATGTCGGCATGGAACGAAATTGAACGGTGATTTGTTGGCCCACCGATGCCTCGAAGAAACTTTAGTCAACTTTAGTCTCAACATGTGTGGAAATGATTCGCAACGCCGGCTTGTCAGGCAACAACTGAACGAGCAGCTGGTGACACCTGAGCCGCACACGTGGTTTGCAAAGTATCAAGGCATTTCGGCACAATGTAGCGCTCCAAACCGTCAGAGGGAGGCCAAAGAGAGCTGCCTCCATTCCAGGGACCCGGATTTATGATTTGTTGGAGTCATCCTAGTCACTAGATTCACTAGTCACTAGTCAATATTGACGATGGTATTTATATGTAGTTATTGATAATATTGATAATGATATTGATAATGTTGTGTTGAAGTCGGCCTCTCCGAAGACTTGCGGGCCACTAAGGTATGGACTACAAGTTTGGCACTGTCAATCAACCTCATGTTTCCGTATCTTGCCCTATTTTGCCTCACTGAATCAAGAGCAGGCAGCCAAGGTTTGGGCAGGTGGGTTTCTAATGCCATAGCACCTCGCGTAAGGTCTTCGAGCAGTATCTGCTGCTATTTGGCCAGCACTGTGATGGGGCAAATGGGGTAGAACGGGAAAATGGAAGCTTATGAATCTACCGCCACATCCTCCCTCTATCTCCAAGGTTTCCCTTAGCATCCCTTAGCCGCTAAGTCAGCTAGGTCTGTAGGTCTACAGTTTTTATCACTTGCCTTTTTGGCCGCCAGTGAACAACGATTCATAACGATTCTGTCGATTCTGTCGGCTGAGGTCGCTCTACAGCATGATCAATATTTTGATCAACGACAACAACGACATTCTGAATCCAGGAAGTTGGGGTGAAGTCGGTTGGATCCTGGGCAGTTTCTTGGATGGAGAAACAGCACAAGCAGATACAGTCATATACAGTCTAGAAACAGAAATGAAACTGGACATGTCTAGCATATTGGAGGTTCCAGATGGTTCCAGGATGGGGGGACATGATGCGATGTCAGAGACATAGGGGACTTTGATGGACTTTGTACAATATTGATGTCACTGATCCATTTGAACATGATGCCAGAGTCTGGAGTGCTCATGCTTTGTCATGTAGCCCTTGGATGCCCTTGGCAGCACACGTGCAACCTCCTCGTTGAGCCCAGAGCAGAGCATGCCTTGAGGTTTTGTGGTATCTGTGGCAGTGATGGGGGCCATTGATGGCACTCTCGTCGGGAAGGTCATCTCCCAAGATGAGACCATTGTGGAACAGCGTGTGATGAAAGCAAGGACCTGGTGCTTCCGGGGAACTTGAATTTCAATGGTTTTAAATGGTTTGTCTATGGGATTTTCATGGGTTTCATTGCCTACGCCCTGGCATTGCTTTCGCGTGTGACGTTCCTTCATCATGCACGCAAGGCTGCTCGAAGCTTTGCCCAGGATCAACACTTTCATCAAGAACGCTGGGCTTCCAAATGAACTAGTTGAACAGCAGCTAGGCAAAAGGACAATCACGCGATGTGCAGATTTCTCAGAACTGATGGAACTCAGGTGTAGTTTGATAATGTTTAATCACGATTTTTCGTATCTAAGGATCTTGGTATCTGAAGGAAGTGGCGATCAGCAGAGTGGAGCAAAAGAACACAAAGCAGCGGATGCCACTCCGATGTTTTAAATGCTTTAACAAGTCGGCCCTTCTCAACAACATGTTGGTCCCACACCCATCAACGTCGTGTATGTATGTGTATGTCGTTCGGAAATGTTCAGAAGATATGTCCGGGTCGGGAGACGTTCATTTCAGCCCGTGAAGGTCGGTCGACCCGGCCATGTTGATCCAAGATATCCAAGGCTCGCATGTTGGAAACTGTCCTCTCCAGCCTTTCTCACAGCTTGCTGCAACGCATTGGTCAACGAGTCTTCTTGAAGTGGTTGTCTGCACTGCCGATCTTCAAGGAGCCATGCCATTCTGTTCACACTCTTGCACTGCGCCCGTCATCTGGTAATCAGTAACTTAGTAGTGCTGCAACGCATTGGTCAACGAGTCTTCTTGAAGTGGTTGTCTGCACTGCCGATCTTCAAGGAGCCATGCCATTCTGTTCACACTCTTGCACTGCGCCCGTCATGCTGGTAATCAGTAACTTAGTAGTAATCAGTGCCGTGAGTGCCGTGAATTGGCCTCTTGCAGAACTTAGGGAGCTGCCCTGGCATATCAGGATTGCTCAGAGCCATTCCTTCTGCAGCTGACCACAATTTGCCGACCCTTGTCGGCTTCTGCCGGCACCTTTCTCTGCCGAGCTGGAGAGTTAACCAGCATCCTGGAAGCAGAAAGACTTGCCGCGGCCGGATCCTGAAGATGTTCGAAGGTTTTGACCTTTCCAGAGGATTCCACCTTAGAACTTCGATCAGACAAGCACTCCATTCGAGCACTTGTGTAACTTGCAACTAAGGCTTCTTTTGCATTTTGCGCAGCGGTTCTGTGCAGCTTCGCGATGCTAGCAATGAAGAGGTATCAGCTGCAGATTCTTGGGGGAGCAGGGAAGCTACCAGTATGCGGGAGGCAGATTGCTTAGTGTATGTCCTATCTTACAAGAAAACATGGATGGCATAGAGATGTAATTAGTGAAGAGATCCAGCTCAGATGATAAACGTCCAACAGGGAGACCTGCATGACCCAAATCAGTGATACCGATCCAAACAACACCTGAAGACAGGTAAAGCCGGGAGCCTGTGATTTGCAGTGATGAGTCCCTGATTCGCTTACAGTAGTCATTGCTCTTCATGTCTTGTATCTCAACATGTTACATATAGAGATCGGTTTGTTGGTTCGTTCATTACTATCATTACTGTACTATTTATTCATGTGTTTACCGACCTATTTACGATTCGGAAAGTTGCAGTGGTCTCAGATGGTCTCAGGATGCCAGGCACGACCTGCTCACTGGTTGTGTGCTTCCGCAGGTGGATCGAGTCGACGAACGTGGAACCGCGCTTTGTGACATCTCGTGTTTGTTTGGACTTCGCCATGAAGTGTCGATAGTTAGCAACTCGACCTCTTGGCATGGCAGACAGTCTTTGAGACATGGCAAATTCAGGACACGGGGCAAACCCGTCAAATCAAATATTTGAAACGGTCCAAGAATTCCAGGACTCCAGAAAATAAAAGATGTAAAGCATCAACGCTTTTCTTAGAAAAAACTTGATGTGTGACTCCCAGGTGAAGAAGAGAGCACCTTCATCAAGGTCCCCATTGACGAGTTGAATACAGCTTTGATGTTATATCCAAAGGACGGGGCATGGGATGGCATGGGAGCATCTGCGATACAGTGCAGGAAACGCCACGTCCTGTCTTTACGACAAGAGTTGAAGGCTTCAATGTTTCTTGGGACATTCCGACTGGCGCCATTGATAAGCGGTCTCAGAATACCAAGAAATTGAGCAGGAACGAAACTGTCTTGTGGTTGTTGCCTGTGGTGGTACGTATGCGTCACTATGCCATTGAGCTTAGCTTTGGGAAGGACCATGAAGTGATCCACAACAATGTGATCAAGCTCACACCAAATCCTGCCAAGGATGGCCAGGACGCTTTTAGCAAGCTGAGGGTCGTTTAGGTCATTTTAGGTCTTTGTTTAGCATATGTGTATATATTTAGTTACATTGTTTGTTCATAACTTATTGTTCTAGATTGTTCTAGATTTTTTTATATCGTTCTATATTGTTCTATATTATATTGATCTATGTCTATGTTATCTCTTGTTATCTTAGCTTTATCCTTCCCTGCTGCCAGAGGCCCATGCAGGTCTCTTCTTTTCCTCCTTTGGTGGCTATGTACAGGTATGCACAGGTGTAATCAAGTCCGAAGGGGTCCACAATCATGGTTTGCAAGTCAACATCCTCAAACTGTGCATAGAGCAAACAGTAAACATGAGTAAACTACACGTGTTTCTAAGCTCTTTGGGCAACTGAGGATGAACCTGATAATCAGGCTATGGGCACTTCTGTCTGCAAATAGAGGGATGACAATGCAGACTGCCGCAGGGACGGTGTTCTCTCTTGCTCCTTGCGATTATATGTCTTCAAACGTCTGAACAAACATGAAGCTCACGTCTTCTTTGATCTTCTCATCGATCTTCTTCGAACTTCTTCCTACTCCTTAGCTGACTTTATCGTAAATCGTTGCATTTTAACGATGCGATTATATATATATAGATTATATATGATGTATATGGCTTCTTCTGTCTCACCAGTGCTATTGGTCAACCCTTGCACCCAGGTATGGCATGGGCTGAGGATGAGGAAGAGATGGGAAAATCGCAGGCGGAGATGCTGTCTTTGAGGGCTCTCGAGCTAGGAGGAGGTATATATAGATGTTTGACATCAGGGGGCGGCGTTCTGCCACACTTGTGAGATCTTGTGAGGTTTAAAGAACTTTATGGAGCTTTAAGCAGAGCTGCCAGGTGTCTGCCTCAACCCGAAGAAAGAAGAGAAAACTTGCAGGACTTGTCGATCTCATGGCAGAGCCTTGGCACATAGCCCGTTCACTCTCGGCCCTATGACCGCATTCCCTCATAGCAGTCACAGCACTCCCGCAACTCTCTCAGGAACTGCCTGTGCATGACTTGACTCTGGATGGTGTCACTCGGTGTATCAATAAAGCAGAACTGCAACTCCTTGTGCTCCGAGTTGTTTTCGGCCGTGTTTTCGGTTTCGCGAAGTGAATTGTCAATTTTGCTCGGCAGAATATTTGAGCGACCTTGCCACTTCAGGTGGCACGCGTGCGAAAGGAGATCAAGAAATTCCAAAAGACACAGGCCTCCTTTTCATGGAACACTCCAGTCAAAGAGCTTGAAGTTTGTGACTTCTGGATATTTCTGGCTGCTTCTGGGTAGTTTGGCACTTGTGAGCCCGGCTCAGGAACAAGAGCGGATTGGCGATTTCATGGATTTTGCTGCTCAGGGCAAATGGGAAGCAATGGAAGCGATGCTCAGGAGTAGCTCGATACAATGGAACCGTTTCGATTTTGAGACTTGTAGCGCTCCAGAGAACATCTTGTTGGGATTTGTTTGGATATATTTGCTTTATGGGCCTTTTTGAGCGTGTTATATTGTGTTACTCGTGGGTAGTGAGACTCTTGTTGAAAACCAGCAGCTTGAGCCCTTGAGCATGCTAGGCAACAAGGCGCATGTGAACTGCACAAACTGGGATGGCCGAACTGCCCTCCATCTCGCAGTCAGTGCTGGACACTTGAATGTGGTGGAGAAGCTTGTCATGGACTTTTCTGCATTGTTCACGGTACAAGATCGCACCTTTGCTGCACTTGTGATTCCGTGCATGACCGTACGTGTGAATTCCAGAGACTGTGCGAAAGCGGCAGGAACGATTTTGAAATGCAGAGTTTGGCATAGCTTAGCTTGAACTACAGACTAATCAGACTAGCTGTGACCTATGCTGTTACTAACTACAGCACTCTCTTCGACTTCCTCCAAGGTTTCAGCCATACACCTTTGGACGATGCAGTCAGAGAGCGCCATTCAGAGGCGACCTGGAAGGAATGGATATGGTAAGTGATATGAAGTGGTATGTATGATATGAGCGGATCATAGTGGATCAAGCTTCGATCAACTCCAGGCATGACACCCGAAGTCATGTCAAGCCTATCCCCGAATTCGAGAGATGAAAGTGGCACCACGGCACATCCTTTAATCTTTGATATTCTTTTGGTGATGTTTGTGTGAAGGCCCAGTTTCGATGTTGGCTCTGAGGTCGCTGAATTCCTCATCGAAGCCAGTGCAGAGTTCAAGTCTGGGGTTTCTGCCGCAGTTGGGCGCTCAGAACCGCTGCCAGGATGCCCCTAACATAGACATTTCCAGCAGACAAACCATGACAAACCCACCGTTACAAAGATCGTGGGAGCTCAGCCTAGGTCCAGCTGTGCGAAGCAGCCGCGAATGGTGACACCGCCCAATTGGAACTCCTTGTGGAAGTCATTGGAGTTGCTTGGCAGAGAAGTTCGGTTCGGATCCTTGGTACAGAATTCACGGAGAACAACTGTCTTTCTGACTTCAGTTGCATCGTTTCATGAATCTATATCAATGATTCATCCATTTTGGGTTGGGAGGCTGTAAGGGAGACACAGATTTCCCTGAGAAGTCTCGCAGTAGAAGACATCAGCTATTTTCCAAGATTTTCCCATGTTTTCCCTCTATCTGCAATGGGCTGGCACGTTGAGAAGCTCTGCTCGTGTTTGAACTTTGGCCTTTGTGCATTGCCATCACAGGTCGATCCAAACCTGGGTGATTATGACGACCGTACTGCGCTTCACCTTGCAGCTTCAAACGGCCATTTAGATACCATCCAGTGCCTTGGCTCATATCAGTCTGTCAATCTAAATCAATCTAATATCTAAGCTAAATATGTCTAAAATCGATCTAAAAGAGTTTAAACGATTCGAGAATCAGATTGTTCACCGTAGTTTCAGGCTGCTTAGTTGTTCAACGTTGTTCAGTTTCAAGATGTTGACGCCGTCGTGGGGATGGCCTTTGCCTCCGCACCCAGGAAGATGCTGGAGTTCCCTACTCTGGATCTGAGTCCCTTCGATCGTTTCGGGCTGACGCCCTTAGATGATGCCATCCGCCATGGCCACGTGCCCGTGCAGAAGCTCCTTGGCATCTGCCTGGCGTCCGCCTTGGCGTCAGTATGTGGGAGGTGCATAATGTGCATAAGCATCATAGGCCAAGCATTCTTCACGGCACGTGCGCTTTGCTCGTACATGCTGCTATGATGTTAAATGAAGCTAAATTCAGCTAAATGCCCATTTCCCTTTGGCTGAGCCACAATGGAAAGAGCATGAAAGAGCAAGAGATAGTGATGAGATAGTGATGGATATTATTATTAACAGGTCACACACTGATTCTCGATGTGCCTGTGCCTGTGCGTGTGCCTGCGTGCGTGCGTGCGTGCGTGCGTGCGTGCGTGCGTGCGTGCGTGTGTGTGTGTGTAACATCTAAATAGATGTAAAACTTCTCCTTTTTCTTTCTTCTTTCTTCTCCCTTTCTAATAGAGCAGGGGGGCTGGTTGTCCATGCAAGTACCAGCCCAACGAAGAGGCTTGCATGAGACACTGATATCACTGGAGACGTCCAGTGACGTACCTGTCATTCTTTTTCTGTGATGGGAAGAGGCTCAACCCAAGAACCTCCATGCCGCAATCTATTTTAGTTTGGTCTTTATCCTATTTGATGACGATTCTGGTCTCGATATCCTGGTTGGAATTTCCACTACCAAAGTAGTGGACTTGGGTCCTATGTAAAATATATTGTTCATTTTTTACAGTCCCCCTAGGACCATGTGTCCTTGCATTTTGTAGTTACCCTAGGTCACATATGTTTCTAGATTCAAACATGGGCTGGTCATAGAAGTTTGTAGTGGTTAAGTATGTGAGATACTAGTCGGCCCAAAATGAATATCTGAGTTCACTCAGATTTGCCCCCAAAGTACTTTGTAGTAAATTTGTAGGGTTCCACGTTCAATACTAATATTTCCCCAGAGTAGTTTTCAATTTGAATAATAGCGGGCCGTTGCAGTTTGTAGAAAAGACATTTTCGCAGTGCTCGAGTGAAATCACTGCTGAATTTGCGCTGCCATGTTTTATTCGACCCAACAACTGAGAAAAACATGCACAACACACACGCACAAACCCAGGATTGGACAATCCATTTCGATTGGTGCTCCCAATCTGTCACTCTGGTTTTCACTGCAAAGTCAACCAATGCCGCACAAACATACCCTTCAATTACACTGGCCGCTGCATGCCCAAAGCCCAAAGAGGTCCACTACAAAATCAAGTTGCAGAGTTCCAACGCTACAAAATCCACTTCAAGAAATCTTTGTCCCTCCCCCATGGCAACCACCTACTGTCATCGATCATCACAAGACCACACACGACAAGGTTTTCTGGTGCCTGCATTTGTCATTTAATTTCTTACTTTCAAAAGACAACTCTGTTCTCTTTTTTTGTGGTGTATACAAAAAAATCACTACAAACATCTACAAACTACTTTGTCCTTTTTTGGATTGATCTTGAAGACTTGAGTGGGATCTACTTAAAAATCACTACAAACATCTACGTGGTTTTTTAGGGGTATCTTGAAGGGCCTCTTGTTAGATTCTTTGTTTTTTGTAGTAACCCTTTATCCAGGCTGGGGTTGCACTTTTGTAGTGTGTTTTTTTTTGCCTGTGCGTGGAAAATGTAGTGATTGGGGTTGGGCAGAGCTACTTTACAGCTACAAAATCTTGACCCAACAGTCCTCCCCAGATACCAACCCCGATGTCTCGATTGTCATTCTGGAGAACTTCCATTATTCGATGTGTACTACGTAGGTTAATTTGTTTCTCATCTAATCTGCACGTTAACAGGACTCAGTTCCTGATGGATCTCTTCAAAGATCCTATTTTGTCTAGTGTAATACCTATGGTTCAAAGATCCTATTTTGTCTAGCGTAATACCTATGGTGACTCCGACATGGTGCCATAGGGCCACTTGAGGCAACCCCTTTGCGGGTGACTGTTGACCAATTTGACTTCCGAATTTACACTTTTTATATAATCTGATAATTCATTTAGGTAAAGTGAAACAGCTGGCCTTTCGGTTATGCACCATTTTGCGAAGTCCCGCTGGTCCAGTTGTCCCAGTGATCCCTGGTTACTGCACTCCTACAACGTGAAGCCGTCTTGAACATTCAGAAACTTCATTTTTTACCTGCAGCTTCCGCTTTTGACGTACAACGCGACATGAATGCCAGGCAGGCACACGACCTTCAGGTGTGGTTTTCTTCCTTTTTGATGGTTTCTGGTGAGGTTGAACATTTTGTGCATCTAATTCGATGGAACTTGAACAGCTGTTTATGCCATTGCGGCACGACTTGACTACGGTCCCGAAGGGGAATAACGCACGACCTCTAGGATAGGCGGAGTCCTTTTTTAAGTTAATTGTTTTGGTTTTTCTCGCTTGTCACCAACTAGTCCCCCATTTGGTCCCTAATTCTCCCCCCGTGCCTCTCCGTAATGTGTCGTGGGGCTTAGGTGTGTGCTCTGTTTTTTGTCAGGCCCGTTTCTCCGCGTAGGTTGGTTATGGTTGGTTCTGGAGGTCCGTTCGTTCCCTTCCCCCCCCTGCGCTGTTTCGGCCTGTTGCCCGTCGTCTGTGTCCGCTTTTTTCTTCCTCTTGCCTTTCAGGGTTGACCCGGCTCCGGCCGGGTGTGTGTGTGTGTAACATCTAAATAGAATTATATAAATAGATGTAAAACGTATCCTTTTTCTTTCTTCTTTCTTCTCCCTTTCTAATAGAGCAGGGGGGCTGGTTGTCCATGCAAGTACCAGCCCAACGAAGAGGCTTGCATGAGACACTGATATCACTGGAGACGTCCAGTGACGTACCTGTCATTCTTTTTTTGTGATGGGAAGAGGCTCAACCCAAGAACCTCCATGTCGAAATTTACATGTCGGTTTTTTACATGTTCACCGCACGGATGCCACAATCTATTTTAGTTTGGTCTTTATTCTATTTGATGACGATTCTGGTCTCGATGGTCGTTCTGGAGAACTTCCATTTTTCGATGGGTACTACGTAGGTTAATTTGTTTCTCATCTAATTTGCACGTTAACATGACTCAGTTCCTGATGGATCTCTTCAAAGATCCAATTTTGTCTAGTGTGTGTGTGTTGACATGTGTAATCATGTGTATGTTTTTTTTAAAAAAATATATATATATATAACCAAGATGGGATACATAAAATACAGAATCGATAATTTCGGCCTCAAAAAGCATCTTCCGGAATCGGTAAAGAAAAGACTATACATAGAATAAAAGCACCTTCCGGAACCCAAAAAAAACAATACATAGAAAATTTCCGGCTATCCATTTTGATCGAGAAAAAACCTATTTTGCAATGAAAACCAATGGAATTGGGTGGTGTTCTTCAAAAAACTGATGAAGATTTTCACTGGGGACCTATATTCATCACCTTGACCATAACCTCTATAAAATGCTGAGCTCAGTACCTGTTATAGAGCGTTTCATATATATAAAAATGACCTCCCCAGATTAGCATTTTATAGTGATTTCACTTTATAGTGAGGTTTGGTCATACAACCGAGCATTTTATAGATGTTTTCCATGCGCAACAATTGTGAATAAGATATTCGTTTTATAGAAAAAACATATGGCTATACCATTCCTTTTGTAGAGGAATATAATTTCATATAAAATGAATAGTTCCCACTTACCAAGTTTCTATATTCCATACAGCTGCCAACACCCTGATGGCTATAAAATGAAAGGTTCCAAGATGGATGTTACTTTTCCTCTATAAAATGGCAGGGGTCAACCCCCTCCATAAAATGTTTTATGTTATGGTTTTGTGGGGTATAGTCTTGCCATTTTGTATACAATTTGTTTGTTTTCGTTTATGCAAACTTTTTTTTGGGGTCAAGCCTTGGCAGTTTATAGAAAAGATGTGTGTGGAAGAAATATGTTGGTGTTTTTTTCCACACCTTATTGTTTTTGCAGTAAGATCTATTTCAAACCATGTGTATGTTTGATCATGTTTGTTTAAGTGTTCTCTTTGTAAGCGTACATGTTTTGACACATCCTGCATACACCATAAAACAGGGCCACTGCTATGCCACTACAGGTGTTCCCTGCTGGCATCCTGCTGCTCTAAGTTTTTCCTCTGGTCTGCTTTGCTTCTGAAGTGCCTCTGGCTTCTTTTTGCATGAGCCTATGTGAATGCCCAATTCGTTTCAAATGAAGCCTGCAACCAGACAAGCCACATGGGTTGCCTCAATGCATGCCTGCTCTGGCAAAAGCCAGGGACTATAAAATGAGAAGGCCCTACCCCCTACATGAATCATAAGAAGGCACAGGAAGGACAAATGAGGCTTGACTTGAGATATGAGGAGTCTATAAAATGATCAAGCTGGACCCCCTGGATACACCATAAAACGGGGCCACTACTGTGGCCACTACAGGTGTTCCCTGCTGGCACCCTGCTGCTCCAAGTTTTTCCTCTGGCCCGCTTTGCTTCTGAGGTGCCTCTGGCTTCTTTTTGCATGGGCCTATGTGAATTCCCAGTTGGTTTCAAATGAAGTACGTAACCAGACAGGCCACATGGATTGCTTCAATGCATGCCTGCTCTGGCAAAAGCCATGGTCTATAAAATGACAAGGTCCCACCCCCTGTGTGTCACATAAAAAGGCACAGGGGGTGACAAATGAGGGTTGATTTGATATATGAGGAGCCTATAAAATGATCAAGCTGGACCCCTTGCATACACCATAAAACAGGGCCACTGCTGTAGCCACTACAGGTGTTCCCTGCTGGCATCCTGCTGCTCTACGTTTTTCCTCTGGCCTACTTTGCTTCTGGGGTGCTTCTGGCTTCTTTTTGCATGAGCCTATGTGAATTCCGAACTGGTTCCAAATGACGTGTGCAACCAGTCAAGCAACATGGATTGCCTCAATGCATGCCTGCTCTGACCAAAGCCAGGGTCTATAAAAACACAAGGTCCCACCCCCTACATGAATCATAAGAAGGCACAGGGAGGACTAAGGCTTGACTTGAGATATGAGGAGCCTATAAAATGACCAACCTGTACCCCCTG